TTTGTTTCTTGTACTCACCCTTTTCTTGTTGCGGTTGCACTTGAAGTTACCCCGCTCACAGGGTGTCCTATTATGTACTCTTAAGCTTGATTCACCTGCTCATTGAGCGTGATGCTAGGCTATAGATAAGAAAAACTTAATTTCTGCTTTGGAGGGTCTCACAGTGTGGTGGAGGAAACCAACTCATTCTTCCTGAGGGACATTTGAACTGGATTTTGGAAGATGCATGTGCAACAGCCCAATAGAGAAAGAGAAGTGAGAATGGGAGTTGGGTCTTTTAGGAAGAGAGGATGGCTGGGGCAAAGGCATGGATGCAAAAAGGAATATGAGGAAAGTGGGCACAGAGAGTGACATGATGGATAGAGGTGGGTGGAAGAGAAGGAGGGAGGAATGGTGGAAACGAGACTGCTGGATTTTGTGTAGAAATTAGGAAACATTCTAGGTATTTCCAGCAGAAAGTTTTTAATACAGGGAATTTGGTGCTTATAAAATCACTGGAAGTCAGGGAAAACAGAAGTGTTCAGATTATGTCACCATGGCTGCTACCCAGAGGTTGGGGGGATGCTGTTTTCCCCCATGGTTGGGAACATGAAACCGTGGCCAGTATTACAGCTGGCACATGGTCTTGGACTAGACAGGAGCATCAAGTATGGTTGCTGCAGAATCTGTGCTTGAGGAAGAATAGCCCCAGCTGCTCTGCTCTCTACCAAGTCCTGCATGAGAGTATTTATAACTGACAGAATCACAGCTGGAATCTGGTAGCAAGCGGATGTGAGAAATGTAGTTCCCAGGCTTTCAGAACCTGTGATAAAGAACCTGGAAGAGGAGTAGAAGTGAACGTGAGGGTCAATAGACCATTTCTAGCATAGCTGTGTGGGCAAGCTGGGGCCAGACTGTGAAGGGACTAGAAAGCCACCCTAAAAGGGTCAGGAAAATGCTGCATGGGATGCTCTTGAAAGCTCAGAAGCAGAGTTACAACAATTCAATTTATTTTATAAGCATTGGTGGCATGGTAGAGGCCATTCTTTTAAACTAAAAAAGAGGGGCCCCTGGGTGGCTCAGTTAGTTGAGTATCTGACTACTGATTTCGCTCAGGTCATGGTCTCAGGGTTGTGGGATCGAGACCTGCATTGGGCCCTGTGCTTGGCTCAGAGTCTGCTTGGGATTCTCCCCCTCCCCCTTTAACCCCCCCTCTGTCACTCCCCCTGCGTGTGCTTTCTCTCTCTCTCTCAAATAAATAAAATCTAAAAAATAAATAATAAACTAAAAAAAGAAAAAACACAACAAGCTATACTACAATTATGTACTCAACAACTCTTCGGTACCTAGAACCATGCAATGAAAAAGCCTTCAAAGGTATTTTTTTTTTCTTTTTAATAATTTGTGGTAACTCATCCTCCAATGCTCTTTCCCATTTTTTATTGGTTGCACATTTTGTGGAAGACACTGTGAATACGGATATAAATAATCTCTGGTCTCTGACTTTAAGAAGCTAATATTGATCCCTTCTCTTTTCAGTGAAGACTAAGAAAGTTTTAGAGAGTTTGGTAGATTAATTTATTGCTTCTCAAAGTAACTTTTGCCAAACTATAGTTTTGTACATTACTCTAAGAGAAAAACAAAAAACAAAAAACGGTCCCACTATCAAACCAGTTTAAAAGTTTTGTATAGGGCGCCCGGGTGGCTCAGTCGTTAAGCGTCTGCCTTAGGCTCAGGTCATGATCCCAGGGTCCTGGGATCGAGCCCCGCTTTGGGCTCCCTGCTCTGCGGGGAGCCTGCTTCTCCCTCTCCCCCTGCTTTTGTTCCCTCTCTCGCTGTGACTCTGGCTGATGTAGGGGTTGTGGGGGAGCCAGCAGCTCAGGCAGCAAAAGGGAGATGCTGCTATGAGTTTGGCTGGGGCTTCTCTCCAAGAATCAGGGCAAAGGACACAGCAGGTGGGCTAATGGCGGACAGAGCCAGCCTGGCACTGTTGTAAATCCCGCCCAAGAGCCTGTGTGGAATGGACTGCAGCAAAGCCAGAGACAGAAGGAGAATAGTAGCTGGAGGAAAATGTATTGCCTGCATCACAGGAAGTTCAGGCAAATGTCTCCACGCTTTGACCTTGCTGGGGTTAGAAATCTAGGCAAGCACGCCGAGGAAGGGGAAATGCTCAGTAGAAACAAAGATCCATCCATGCCCTCCTTGCTCAGCTTGAGCCCCAGGTGCAGAAGTTTTAAATGCTCATTTGCATAATAAATTGAGACTGTCTTTGTAACTTAAAATGTAGAATTTCTGTTATTGACAGTAACTAGAGAAGTCACAGCACCTGACCTAAAGTTCATACAGGGGCGAATGGGTTACCCCTGTTGACCAGGCCTAAAAGGAACACCAGGAGACAAAATTGCTTTCATGATTACCTCATGAGTCCTGCTTGTTCAGTGTACTTACACCATTAAAGACCGACAAGGAGGGGCGGATGGGAGAAGATATTGGTAGATGCCTGTAATAACAGCATGACCCCATATTATAATATACCGCTAAAGGTATGCTAGTGAGATCCTAATACTGGTGTTTGTGTAGAAGCAGATTTATCCTGAGTTATCTCATACAGCTGGCCCTTGAATGACATGGGTTTGGACGGTGCAGGTCCACTTACATGGACTTTTTTCGATATATACAGTACTGTAAATGTATTTTCTCTTATGATTTTCTTAACATTTTCTTTAGCTTTATTGTAAGAATACAATATACAGTACTTATATAAAATGCGTTGTTATTGGTAGAGCTTCTGGTCAACAGTAGGCTATTAGAAGTTATGTTTTTGGGGAGTCAGTTATGCTGGACTTTTCCTGCACAGGGGTCGGCGCCCCTTAAACCCCGTGGTGTTCAAAGGTCAACTGTATATGCCTTGTGAGAAGGGAGGCTATGGACTGGGACAGGAAGTGATGTGTCGGAAGGAAGAGGTCACAGTAAAATGATTGGCGAGAGCTGAATTGAACAGCCCTAGCGAAAGGGCAAGCCCTGTTGTACAGGGTCCTATAGCTCCTCCGTTCACCGTTTTGGGGGCTGCTGAGTTCCCAGACTGGGTTTGATGCTGGATTTCAAAGCTAGTGCTTTCCCTAGCACCTCACAATTTAGTGGGAGGAACCAACACCAACGTAACCTAAATGACTCTGCAAGTATAACAAAGTAGGGAAAATCAGATGACGTCTGTTCGGAGGTTAATTTGAAAGTGAGGGTTACCGATAGAATTTGGCTCTGAACTAAGGGTAGGCATTTGCTAGAATGAGAAGCATTTAACCTTGCAGATGTCATGAAAAGTTGGGGAAGTGGTCTCCATTCACCTGTGAGTCTTAGAAGTGGATAAGCCTCAGAATCATCCGGAAGCTCCGAACCTGAGATGCTGACTCAGTAGAAATCAGAAGCTCCAGAGCATCGTCCTCCTACCCTTTCAAGCTCCTGTGTAATTCTGACACATTAAGTTTTGGTGTTTGGGAACTACCGGGAGGTCTCAATAAAAAGATCTGGTTTGGGTTTATGAGGGCCTGGTTTGCTATGCTGCAACTGTTAAAGATTTTGCTGAAATTGGTACACACGGCCTACCAACAAATACAACCAACATCTCTTGTGAAATAATTTTTATTGCTATTTTATAAAGCTTAATATCTTTCTAAAAGAAAAAAAAATCAGTTTACATGTAGTAAAGTTACAAGTAGATAGCTATAGATAATATAGCCATGAGAAAAAAGGGCAGAGCTAAATAGTATGAAGACAAAAGCAGTAAGCAGCAATAAAATTAATACCTACAAAAAACTAGCAGTGCAATAAGATTAGCTGAAGGCAGCTTTACATTGAAAAAAAAAAGTTATTTAAATACAGAAATAGCACCTTACAAAAAAGAATTGAGAAATATGTAAACTTGGTAGGTAGATTCAAGTATAAAAGTTATACTCCCAACTCTTGTACCAGAATGAAAGGGTTTCACAAACCCTGGACCGTGTAGGGCACACACACGTCCCTCAGTGCCAACGCAAAGCTGAATTTCCTTAGCAGGATCCCCAACAATTATTTTTGTTACTAAGTTATACAATGATAGACTCAAGATTGCCATTACTTCTTCACTACCCCGAATACCCAAGTCTAGCTTAGCAGCTTCACTACCATCAGTTGCTCTATCAGAAGCATACGGTTTTCCTGACAGAAACAACCCCTGCATTATTTTATTTTTATCTTTTTACACATCACAAAGCCACATTAAAAAGTGGGTACTGAATACAAAAGGAATTGGTTCTCCGTTTTCTTTTCTGTTGCTGAGTATGGTCACAGAGTCATAAAATTCTGATTTATGGGGTTGCTTCTTAACACCCCTCAAGAACTGTGGATTCTCTGAGGTTTATATGGTCATATCATGAACAGAGTTAAAAAAAAGGATAGCAAAGAAGTTAAAGTAGTAAGTGGCGAGCATCCAAAAACAGTGTGGGGAAAATCAGACTGTGATTTCATCTAAATGTAGACCTCTCAAGTGAAAATATTTTGTGGAAGTTTTTAGGCATGGTGGATTTAAACATGCATGTACCCTGTGCGGATAATAAGGATGCTGTGTGTCCTATACTTTCACTGAAAAAGGCATATTTTTGTTTCAAGGTGAACTCCTCATATTAACTCTGGGTAACCATTACTGGGAGGTTGTTGATGATTAGAACCATAATTTGATCTGTTTAACACTAGAAAAGATTGTAAAAAAAAAAAATAAAAGAAAAAATGCCATCTTGTAAACTTTAAAAGTTTAGCGTTGATAAAAATTTTATATAATAACAAATTTATTTAATCAGGCTACCTACCTCAAGTTTTCAAAAATCTTGTGGGGGTAATAAGGCTAATAGTATCCTGTAGTTAATATAAAGCTACTTTACTCAGACTCCCAGAGTCTCTTAAATTAATATTTTTATTTCATATAACATTTTATTGGGTCCAAAAATAAAAATAAAATAGAATTGTACACCAAGATTCCAGATCGAAGACAGAAGCTTAAAAAAGAAAGGAATGAAGAAAGGAAGAAGGGAAGGAAAAAAGGGAGAGAGGAAGGCATTTGCTGGAAGAGACAAGAATGAGGTACATCAATAAATCTAGGAATACAAAGAGCTAGTTTGGCTACTTACTGAAATCCTAAAGCAATATGGTTTAACAAAGGGGTATTGCATAATAGTTTCCAGAATTGTACTCATGCTAGAACAATGAATCCCTGCACTCACCGTTCTTATTTTTCAGAAACGCTCCGAAAAATAACTGGTTTGAATACTCTTGGATACTGAACATAATGTGTTCGTTTTCCCTCTTACCCTTCCACAAATAAAGAAAAAAGCCAAAGGAAAAAATATAATGATCACCTATCAGAACTATATCAATTTCTACATCATTACTCTTCAGAATTCTACCAAAAGGTCCCATCCAGGTTCCAATTTTCCATATAATCAATCACTTGCTACCATCCTGATTTATTCAATAAGACAGCAATTCTTTGAAGGCATCCATACCTGATACTCTACAGTTAATGTTTAAATAAAAAATCCACGGGGCACATAGTGAAGGAAACTGCACAGGGTAGGATTTTTACAAATGAACAGTAAAACCTCATTGTTCACACAGGTCAGCTCTTAGGCAGCTAGCATGCATCTTGCTTCTCATGCCCAGACAGGCTCAGCACAGTTCATTATAGCAAGTGGGCCATTCACAGTTATTTTGGTCGTAACATTCGGTCATGCATACACATTTATCCACATTATTAGTAGGTTGTAAAGTAAGTGCAGGGCAAATTAGAGGAAAAAAGCACAAACATTCAAGTCGTCATACCCTGAAAAACATGCATTTTGCTGTAGTTGTAAACTTTTTGCACTAAATCCCATTTCAGGAACAAAATAAATAATACCATAGGATTCACAACTGGAGTCGGCTTCCTGATGAAGCCTAAGGAAGCAGTAGCTTTTTTAAACTGCAGAAAAGAAGTTTCTCTCACCAGATCTAGACTCAGGGCGAGGGGGAAAAACCTGCCAAGAATGCTCACCCTAGTTAAGTGCTAGACAGCTCCCCCAGTAGAAAAACCACAAGGCTCCAGTAGCCTGTTCAGATCGACTTCCAGCAATAAGAGGATTCTTGAATCAAAACCACAAGTCAGTCGGTGCTTTCACTGTGACACCACGCACAGAGTCTGGACTCTAACTGATATTAAATGCACAATTAATAACAATTGCTTTCAGGAAAATAGATGATTCATGATGATGGGAAGTTAACATTAGAACCGGTAGGTGAAAGAGAGAGGACGATGTGTGCAGATGATGGTCTGCGTCCCGCTTTGCATTCAGCATCAGGGCATCACCTGGGACGGGGAAAGTCAGGTGGGTGGTCCCCCACCCCGGCCCGGCCCGGCGGCAGGTTAGTCAGCCTCGCTGCTGGGGATTTCCAGTCTCCTCTGCGCTGAGCTGGTGTTTCGTGTCGGATTCCTTTCTCTTCTCCTAAGGACGGGGTCTCCGAGGCTGCCAGGTGTCTTGAAAAATGTCTCACGATGTGTGCATCGGATGCTCTTGGGGGTCCCAGGAACAGGGGACTAAAAGAGCAAGTAAAAACAGAAGTGAAGTCAAACTGTTCTCGGTCTCCGAACTAAGCCCTTTCTTGACCTCTGTCAGTATGACCTTGATGCAGGCGTTCTCCTTCTTTCCGCTTTTCTGTCCCACTCATCTGCTTTATCTCCTCCCCAACAATTCTCACAACTGGAAATTCACTTCTTTGTTTTGTGTGCAGAAAGGCAGCCTAGTGAAGAGGTTGGGAGCGTGGCATTGGCACAACTAGCTGGGTGACCTTGGGCAGGCTACTTAACCACGCTGTCCCTCGGTGTTTTCATCCATACAATGTGGGTGACAAAGTGACGACTCTCACAGGGCTGCACCAATTAGAAAAGGTAATATTTACAGAGCACGGTGGACTACGCAAGCAGTAAGTATGTGCGTCCTGGCTCTTTTGTTTACTTGCAACTATGTATCTTCTTGTGTTAAATGTTGCATATTGATCTCCTTAATGTGCCCTAAAAGAGCAGGGACCATTATTCTGTTTACTGTCCTATCTTCACTGCCTGCATGAGTGCCTGGCACATAACTGGTGATCGGAAAGCATGTCACATTATCATCACCTTAGTTTAAAAACTAGCATGTTTAATTTCATCATCTAGCAAACTTGTGAGCGTCTAACTTGTCTAAAATAGTTTTGGCCACAACGCAAAACTCTTTCTTCATGAGAGAAAGTAACCACTCTGAACAATGCCTGAGGCATAAGAGGAAATCAACACATGCTTACTGACTGAACTACAAATGGGAGTTTGGGGGAAATATAGTACTGATTAGTTAATATTGATTATAAAATTCATATATGTACATTTGTGTGTCTGAGTATGTGTGTGTGTGTGTGTGTGTGTGTGTGTGTGTATATATATATATATATATATATACACACACTCTCCTAAACATTGCATTTTGAGAAATGACAGATGCTAGGAATCTTTGCGTTAGTATCCAGACTTCTGTTTCCCTGAATTGTTTCTATAGCTGTACAGTGAAAATTCAGGGTGCTCTCCTTTTATTCATCTAATGAAATGAAAACCTGAAGAAATCATCTGAATATTCAGCATTCATCAATAGTCCCTTGAACTATCCTTAAAATAAGTCCTTCTAATTTTAAAGAACAGATTGACAATTAAAAAATATTTTTGTCTTTAAAGCACAGCATCTCCTGCCTCCAGCCTCCATGCCTTATAAAGTAAGCAGGTAACTTCTGGGTCTACAACAGAAGCTGGATAGACCCTGACCTGGAGCTTCTGTCCTGCAGTCATGGGACTAAAAGCAAAGCTCATGAAATGCATACTGACCCCATCACAGAATGATGATCTTCCTGGGCTCACAGCAGGACTCACCTGTTGTAATTTTACTACGGAGACAGGATGCCCCGCATACGCAGGGGATTCAGGCTGGATGATGTTGTGTGATCTTGGCATCTCTGGACTCAGATTGAGTGAGTGGGCACCCTGAAGCTGAGGGTCTGCGGAGGGGAGTGCTGATGATTTTGGATTAACCATGTTTGCAGGGCCGATGAGAAGATGAGCTGTTGATCCAAGGCCAGGCAAGCCAAAATTCACAGGTCCCGCATTTGGGAGAGCACCAGGGGCAGAGGAAAGCGGCCTGGGCATAGTGGGAGAATAGAGAACGGGGAAAGGGCCCAGCGTCGGAGATGGTAAGACCATGCAAGGAATGCTGAGGGATGGCAGCTGACCTGAAGGGGGTCCCACGGCATGGGGGTTCTGACTGCCAGATAAGAGCACATTGAAACCATTTAATCCTGAAACAGAAGCAGACCAAGGTGACCGTCAACACAACAGGAGGTACCATAACAGTTTCACATTCCCCTGCCGCCCTTCCAAGTGGGAACCCACAATGAATGGATTCTACCTGACCAGGCCAACCCCCTTCCCAGGCTCTCCCCGCTCTGCACTGCTTCTCCCCAGCAGTGCCACCAGTGAAGTCCCACATCCACTTGTGTGATAATGTGGTGGATGCCTGTGTCTCCTGAGAGGGTCAATTAATGTGTGTTCCACTGAATGCAAATTGAGGAGGGAAGTGAACTTGGATTGGAAAGATTTTATCTTTTGTTTTTATAAACTTCTAACAAATTTGTATTTTCCTCAACTTGGATCACAGGCAACAAATCCAACAGTATTAATAGTACCTTGACTTTGTCACTAGTAAAAAGCTCACATATATTCATATAACATTATAGCTACAGCAGATTCTTATTAGATCGTGAAGCGCATTATGACTTTGAAATTATGAGAACACTGGAACTACTGTCAGATCTTTTTATTACTATAACTTAAAAAAATTTTTTCTAATGGTATTTCAATATAATTGGCTTCCCTTATTATCCTATGTATTTAATTCTATGCGTTTTTTTTTTTTTTTTAAACATTCTGAGGAGGAATCCATGGGTTTTACCATAGTGTCAATAGGTCTTTGGCCCAGAAAAAGCTAATACTCCCTGTGCTGGGCTGTCATTTTCATTCAGTCGGGACTGAGCCTGTTTCTTGTTTATCAGTGTATCTGCACCCCTGTCATGCTTACCTTAAATCCGCAAAAAATATTTGCTAATGGAATAAAGAACATTTTGTAGATAACTGAATAATAACACCTACCTAACCTGTAAGTGAATGGAAAATTCAGGAAAATCGATTTAAGTCTCTCTGCATCGAGAGCAGCTTTATGTACATAATGTGTGTCTGAGAAATTAGGGATCTCATCTATTTCAGCTTTATTTCGAAATCCTGACAGCTTTTGAGTCTTACTGTCAGGCACTGTCATCCGAAGTGCTTTAGGTGTATTACCTTATAAAATTTAGTTCCGTTTTGAAAGCACCCCCATGACACCAGTGCCTTGTCAGTCCTGCTGTACCAGTGGGGATGGCTGAATACTTACGTTCATGCAGGTAATAAGGGGCCCTAACGCCCAGCCCTCTCCAGACCTGGCCCTCGACCACAATGACACGCTCAGTACCTCTGGATAGCCAAGACACCACGCTAGCTGTACATGGTGGCCAATAGGTTCATACTGTTCTGTAAACTGAACCAATGCCAGATTCAGCTGAATTATAATAATAGAATGATCTTTTGAATTGTGCTTTGTTAGCAAATAAAGTTTAATGCATTTAAAAAAAATCACTTGCCCTAATTATTTTCATAGTGTCCTTCGAGGTGGCCGAAGTGAAAGCAGCCTCTACCTTCATTTCATAGATGGGAGAAAAGAAAGGGCTGAGAGTAAAACGGTTCAGAGGCCGTGTAGACAGCTGCTCACTGACGAACCGCTTCGGTCAGGTGGCATGGACAGAAATGTAGAAATCTAATTGATGATCTGACCACCCCGAGGGGCCCTCAGACACGATGACACCCCTTACCAGCTGGCGACTGCACATAAAGGTACTGCAGCAAAGAGGGCTCTTTGGTGCTTTCATTTTCTTTTGAAGACTTTTCTATCTCTGTGTCTCTCGAAGGATTTCCCCACTCAGAAGAAATGAAGCAGTTGACCGTGGCCTTTCCTGAAGCCTCCTCTGCAGCCGAGACTTGGGCCTCCCTGTGAATGTCTTCGAGGGGCACTGAGCCGCTGTTACCCGGGGTCTTGGGGGAGGCAACGTCTGTGGACTCTGAGGGTTTCTAAGCAGAGCCAACCAGGAACCAGAAAAGCAAGTAAAAATCCCAGCGGTAAATCTCGATAGCAGCTTTCTCAACATAGCTAACACGTAAACAAATAGGTCAAAGACCGCTGCGTGCCACACTGAATTGTATATGTCTGAAAATGAGCGTCCCGTCACGTGCTTCCAAAGGCTTAGGATTCTTAAGCACAGAAATGATGGAGGGTTTTTTTCTTTAAGATTTTATTTATTTGAATTTTAAATTTTTTTTTTTTTTTAAGATTTTTATTTATTTGCGAGAGAGAGAATGAGAGACAGAGAGCATGAGAGGGAGGATGGTCAGAGGGAGAAGCAGACTCCCCGCCGAGCAGGGAGCCCGATGTGGGACTCGATCCCGGGACTCCAGGATCACGACCTGAGCCGAAGGCAGTCGCTTAACCAACTGAGCCACCCAGGCGCCCAAGATTTTATTTATTTGACAGAGAGAGACACAGGGAGAGAGGGAACACCAGCAGGGGGAGTGGGAGAGGGAGAAGCAGGCTTCCTGCCAAGCAGGGGAGCCCGAAGCGGGGCTCGATCCTAGAACCCCAGGATCATGATCTGAGTTGAAGGCAGACGCTTAACGACTGAGCCACCCAGGCACCCCAGAAATGATGGAGTTTTAACAATGACAGACTGGCCGTGGTGTGTGGACGATGAGGTAAATTTCGGAGCTGCTAACACATAAAGGGGTGTGGATGCCAGTCTTTGAGTGGCCCAGTAAGGACTGCGGGACTGGCCCAAAGCCAGTCTTGGTTATCTAAGACCTATATATACCAGTCAGTCCTTCACTGCTGTTCTGCAACCCCAGGCTATACACAAAATTACAAAGATTCGCTCTGGCAAGAGAAAGGAACAGAAGAGAAAGGGTCCTCAATAATATACTGATTTCCGTGAGTGTGCTGAGCGAACCCAGCACAGACTGCTGTCATGATGGTGCTTCTGCTTCCTGAGAGTTTGACTGGTCGGATCTCATTCACCTCTGAATGGCTACTAAGTGGGAGATGTGAACAGCTCATATTTTTGTTGCTTTCGTTTTGTAGCTGGGGAAACAGGATCTCTGAGCCGTGATAACGGACACAGACACCGCAAGACCAGCAGCACCCACACTGCCGACTCTGAAGTTCAGGCGCATCCTGGATTCAGATGGTTATGTCAGTGATCTCAACTGGTTAAAGAAAAAAAAGGAGAGCCACAAGACGGGGAGGAAATATACAAACATGTTAACAGTGATTGACTCGATGTGGTGGGATTATGGGTCCTTTTTTTTTTTTTTTTTTTTTTTTTACACCTTTTAGCATTTTATGCAAAGCAGGAGTTTTATAAAAGTCTCTTTCCTTACGGTACTACTTTATGGCAAGATTTTATGGCAGAGCCAGTCCCGGGCTTAATTATACAAGTGATACCTGAAATATGTCACATTCCAGACTCAACAGCTTATTAGCAGCTGTGCATCTTTACTGGGAAGGAACTCTGGGTTAACGGGCTGTCACGAAGCAAGCCCACCCGAACCCCCTTACCTTGGGCATGACAAGAGCTAGAGGGCTGTCTTCGTAGTCCCTGCTCTGTCTTTTAGTGGCTGGCTCCTCCTCCTGAGGCTTCCTCTCCTCCCCGAGGCGCTTCGGAACTGAGGGTGTGGACGGCTGCTTTGCTGCTGAGACTTCCACGCTTCTGCTGTCCCTCTCGGACCCCGGGGATGGTCCCTCCTGCAGGCTCCCATACAGCATGAACAGTGAGGTGGAGGGCACGTACACCATGGGCTGGCTGGCCAGCAGGGCTGGTTTCAGGCTCTCCACGTCCGAGGCTGCAGAAGCTGGTGAGGCACCCACTTGTCCAGTCAGACTGTTCTGCACGGGGAAGGCATGCAGGTCCGTTTGGGCTGCAGAAAAGACTTGGTGTGCTAAAGGAGTAGCACAATATTCTGAGTCAACAGACAGGCCAGGGAAAGGAGCAGCAGGGTCCAGGCTGCTTGACGGCGGCATCGCTCTCTTACTGGCAAAGGCTTTCCTCCTGCAGTAAAAAGGAACATAATGGGTCCCATCAAGTTATCACATTCCACCAGCTCCTGATTCTCTGTCTTCCTAAAGAGATGTACCAAAGCAGAAATGAGATAATGCTGCTCGAGCTGATACTAAAGTGTGCCCCCTGAGCTAACTCCAGAGGCCGATAACCATATAACCTGGACGGATGCTTAGGGAGGGGGTGGGTGAGCACTTGGGGGGCTCTCAGGTTAGAGCTCACGCGGGCTCTCCCCTGCCTCCTCTACGTCTAATAGTTATCGGTCACATACTGATAGTGACTGCTACCCCATAGCAGGCCCGCAGATGCCTTATGACAAACATAATCATAACTTGACATAATTATGATAGTTACCCCCTGCCAGTTGATGAGGGAGGAAAAGTGAGGCTCAGAGACTAATCAGCCTTCTGAAGGTTAGCTGCCCCGCTTGAACGGGGCATTTATCTCCACTGTGAGATAAATGGAGTGGGCAGTGAGTGAGGAAATAAAGTTACCTACTAAATTATTTTCTGTCATTCTTGTCCCATTCTGCTCAGTATTCCAATTTTTAGGCACAACACATTCAAAATTAAGCCCCATTTAATATATGAGATTATAAACAATGTTTGGGCCTTTTATACAGAAAGACTTCTAAATATTAAAAAACATTTATGTTTTCAGTGTATTTTTGGAAACAGATGAGGAAAACCTGTTTAAGACTCCTTTAAGAACTAGTAAACAGAGGACAGGGATTTCTTTGAACCCTTTTGATGGAATCAGTAAGATCTATTTTGCCCTGTCTCTTTGTCCACATGCTGCTAGGAATCAAATGGAAGGCCTTGGGCTGCAGAGATGAGTAAATCTCTCCAACCACAGTCCCTCTGAATGAGAAATCACTACTACTCAGCTCTGTGAAGCTCAAAATACCCACACTGAGTATATCCCCCACCGTCCTATCTCCAGTCATCCACCTTCAACCTCCCCATCTCCACCAATAGTAGCCCCATCATCTGAGACCCAGGTGTCCTTTGTGAGGTCTCTTTCTATTTTACACTGATTTCCACTCCTTTCCATCTGCAGCTGACATGACTCAGACCTGCACCACGACACACCAGAATGGCTGCAGATGCGCCATCCCACCTGCTTCAAGCAGCAAGAGTGTTCTTCTCCAGTGAGTCTGCTGTAGGTCTTTATTGTCTGTCTCATAAACCCAAACTCTTCTTCTACCTGGCTTCCAAAGGGTTCTTTTTTTTCCCCCAATTTGACCTATTCACCTCTAACACCCCAAATTCTTTTTATGAATGAGGTTTCCATTTGCTATCCTATTTGTACAAATCGTTATGGCTAAACTAATCAGTGTATGGTCCCCGTACTCCCTTCACCCTGCCTCACAATCTGTTTCTTCCCAAATCTGTCATTAAAAAGCTCTCTTGTGTAGACGAACCATGAGAGATGATGGACTCTGAAAAACAAACTGAGGGTTCTAGAGGGGAGGGGGGTAGGAGGATGGGTTAGCCTGGTGATGGGTATTGAGGAGGGCACATTCTGCATGGAGCACTGGGTGTTATGCACAAACAATGAATCATGGAACACTACATCTAAAACTAATGATGTAATGTATGGGGATTAACATAACAATAAAAAAATTAAAAAAAAAAAAAAAAGCTCTCTTGTGGGGCGCCTGGGTGGCTCAGTCGTTAAGCGTCTGTCTTCGGCTCAGGTCATGGTCCCAGGGTCCTGGGATCAAGCCCCACATCGGGCTCCCTGCTCAGCGGGAAGCCTGCTTCTCCCTCTCCCACTCCCCCTGCTTGTGTTCCCTCTCTCGCTGTGTCTCTCTGTGTCAAATAAATAAATAAAATCTAAAAAAAAAAAAACCAACCAACCAAACAAACAAACAAAAAACCCCTCTTGTTTCCACATTAGCATTTCCTCTGCTTCTTCCCATAATATTTGATTTCCTTCAAAATCAGACCCAAAATTTGAGTCTGATGGCCTGGGTTTGAATCTTGGCTCTGTCACTTCTTAGCCCTGTGACCTTGGGCAAGTTATTTAACCTCTTCGGGTTTCTGTTTCCTTTCTGTAAAATGAAGATAAGAGTACCAAACTCAAGTGACTGTTGTTGTGATGAGATGAGTTAATACACATAAAACTTTCAGAACGGGACCTGGTGGCTCATAAACAAAATTAGCTACAGTGATGATAAGTGATTCCAGGAACTATAATCATCAGTTCTCAGGGCCGTGTTAGTACTGAAATGTCTTTTTTCAATGTATTTGTTTTTACTTTTTCCCCTATAAGCTTTCATTAGCTTAGGGGATACATTTTTCATACTTTTGTGTCCCTGATGGTACATCCATCACAATTATGGGCACAAAGGGGACACTTAGAAAGTTCTTAATAAACAAATGGCTAATTTAGGAGCAAGACTGCTAAAATTTACCTTTTGATGGGTGGCATTTCAATGGAGTCAAAGTTAACACCAGAAATTAGAAAAGAATACACTCGGGGCGCCTGGGTGGCTCAGTCATTAAGCGTCTGCCTTCGGCTCAGGTTATGATCTCAGGGTCCTTGGATCGAGCCCCACATTGGGCTCCCTGCTCAGCGGGAAGCCTGCTTCTCCTTCTCCCTCTGTCCCTCCCCTTGCTCGTGCTCTCTCTGTCTCTCTCTCTCACTGTCTCTCAAATAAATAAAATCTTTAAAAAAAAAAAAAGAATACACTCAGTTTTTGAAGACTACTTACTGTGAACTGTCTTCTATCTTCTGTTGGTAAACAGCTGCCAGACTTCCAATTTCGAAGGAGTAGCCACTTGATCCTATAAAGGAAAATAAAACTCTAACAAAATATGGCAGGGGACTTATACACACCAATTATATACAGATGGATTCATTATTCACTGCTCAGGGATTATAAGATTATTTCAAATCCATTCTGGTTTTGATTCAAAGAGAGAAATTTCCAGAAGCTAGCTCTTAATGGGGAATTCAGGTCTCATCAATAATTAGAAAACAAAACAAGTGTTGCTTTGTAAATCTGATGAATGTCTGACATGCATCAAACAGACCAACCTTGGCAAACTGGGTGATCTTCACTGGTGGACTAGGATGAATTTCAGGCATGGGGCCATGTTCGTTCCCTGGGAAGCCTGCAATTCTTTTACCCCCAACCATCATTTCACTTCAGGTCAATGGAAAAAACAGGCAGGGCCTAGAGTCACCTTATTTTAAAATGCCTGAGTAGGGTGACTGTTATAGGACGGCTGACGGATTCCCCAGGATATGGAAAGGCAGATACCTTGTTCTTCTTTATAAGGGCTGCTGGGTTCTGAGTTCACTTTCCTCTGGATCCTCTCAGAAGCCTGAACTGTGCTGAAAGAACCATGTCGAGCCAGCCTCTGTTTTGCACAGACTTGAATCTGGCCATATGTTTCTCTTTTCAATTCTGGTAAGACAGATGCAGAAACATCCACTAGTTCTTCATCTAAATAAATGAGAGAATTGGTAGTGTTGTTACATAGCTATAATTCAGGATAATTTTAGCCTTTTAAAGATAGAGCTTGGAGAGCCTGTAATTGTAATGGAGCTACCCTATAAATTAAAAACTAAGACAATCAAAGGAATTTTAGGAGCCTTGTCTCAAACCCCAATTTCTTCTGATGTACTAATTTTTTTTAAGAGTTAGTAAAAGACTGTAAAGTGAAACTGAATCCATATATATTCTAAAATTATCTAAACTGCAACAAAAGTAGAGCAAGATGTTCTCCAACCCAAATTAGAACGGACCTGACATTTCAGATGCTTTCTTTGTGCAGAGATATCAAAGGAAAACACAACCATGCTCAGCCCAACACGCACATTTAGAGATTTTAACATTAACGGAGATTGGCCTCTTAGGCCACAGCTCTACGGCAATGAGTATAAGAATCTATTATGCTTTATTATGTCTTTCTTATGCAGTAGGAGGCTCGGTTACCAAGTGACCAAGGGAATAAGGTCAGCAAAAACCTCATGGTTGAAATGTTGCAGAACAGTGAGAATAGGAGCACCTTGGAGGCCCATTTTATGCTTAAAGGAGCCTGTGTAAAATCAGGACAGAATTTTTTAGATAGAACCAGGCTTGTATTTCTACAGAGAAATAGTCCCTGTTGCTCAGTCATTCCTACCCTGTTCATCTGTGTGATTTTTCTAAGTTCAAAGCATGCACGTTTTAATTATAGGACTAATTTAATAAATGGAAAGGCTCAGCTAGACTTACATTTTCTAAAACACACAAAATTTTTTTAAAAATCACCTTTACAGTTTTCTTTTTCTCATAACAAACCCCCCCCAAATGGTCTTTTTAGAAAATCAAAAAGAAAATGGGTCAAGACAGTAACAGGGAACAAATTTACCCTCCTTCCTTAAACACAGTATCAGACAAAACATTATAAAACAATGGCTTTCAAAAAACAAAAAACAAAAAACAATGGCTTTCAAGATACCGGACAGCAGGAGACAAAGGGCAGTGAACCTTAGAGACAGGAATCAAATGAGGTGAGACCTATGATTGCTCTCACTTACTGCCCAGAGAATATTTCCAGGTTAGAGTATAGGGAAGGGAACCTGGACAGGGACTGGAAGTCTCCCCAAGTCGAGGGTGGAGCTGGAAGCCAAGGCAAGCCAGGGCCGCTAGAGTTTGCAGGGCAAAACTCCAGAGAGGAGAGCCATACAACAAGAACGCTGAAGATCTGCAGAAGATTCCCCCCCACCCCCACCCCTTAAGTATCTAGTGGAGTACTCATGCATGTGAGGAGACTACCCACGGTCAGGAAAGGAACCACTTAAAAGGAGCAAAAGGAATAGTGTCTGCAGCTCATCCAGGGCTGGGAATAGTGCCTACTGCCAATAGCCAGGATGGAAAAATCTCCTAATTCATAGATTACTGGTTAGAATATTAAAAAGGGTATTATTGCCTCAGTAGTGGGGATAATGCATTAAAGACTAACTGCTGATGATCCTGTCTACCAAAGCTTAAAAACAAGACCTGAAAGGTTCACTGTCTCCAAGTAACTTCACTGCATCGCAGAACAAAGCTGAAAAACATTTTTAGAAATACTGAAATATCTAGCACCCAACAATATGTAAATCTCAGTGTCTGGCATACAATTAAAAATTATCAGGTATACAAAGAAGCAGGGAAATATAACCCACAGTGAGGACATAAATCAACTGAAATGGATTCAAAAGTGACATAGATGATAGAATTAGTGGACAGGCACATTAAAACAGGTATTATAATTGTACTCCGTGAATTCAGGAAACCAGAGGAAAGACTAAGCATATTAAGTAGAGACAATGAAAATATTAAAACTCAAGTCAAGTCAAATTTCTAGGGGCAAAAATTGTAATGCTGGAAAAGAAAATACAGCAGATTAATGGCAGATTAGATACTGCAGGAAAAAAAAAGTGAACTTGAAGACATAGCAATAGAACCCATCCAAAATGAAACACAGAAAAGAGAATGAAAGAAACTAAACATCAGTGAACTGTGGGACAATTTCAAGCAGCCAAATATTACCACACCTGGAGTCTCCAAAGAACAGAGGAGGGGACAGAAAAAAATATTCAAAAAAATAAGGGCTGAAAATTTGCCAAAGTTGATAAACAATTTCAACCCATAGATCCAAGAAGCCCAACAAACCCAAGTATGAGACATGAAGAAAAGTACAACAAAGCACACATATCAGATTGTTTAAAACCAGTCAGAAGGAAAATCTTAAAAGCAACCAGAGAAAAAGACATATTACATATGGAAGAACAAGATGATGATAGATTTCTAACCAGAAACAATCAAAGTTAGAAGACAGTGGAGCGATTTCTTTAAAATACTGAAAGAAAAAACCTTCAACCTAGAATCCTTTACCCAGTGAAAATATCTTTCGAAAACAAAGGAGAAGGGTGCACATTTCCAGTTACATGATAAGTACTGGGGATGTAATGGCCAGCACGATGGCTGTAGCTAATGCTGCTGTATGTTATACATGAAAGTTGTAAAGAGAGTAAATCCTAAGAGTTCTCATCACAAGGAAAAAAATTTTCTTCTCTTTTCATTGTATTAATATGAGTTATAGTTATATAAGTTCAGTTCCCTGAACTTATTGCAGTAATCAATTCACAATATATGTCGAATCATTATGCTGTACACCTTAAACTTATAAATGATATATGTCAAGTATACCTCAATAAAGCTGGAAAAAAGGCAAAATAAAGATGCTTTTAGACATAGAAGAGCTGGAAGAATTCATCACTGGCAGATCTGCACTATAAGAAATGTTAAAGAAAGGCCACTTAGCCAAGAAAAATGATACCAGATGGAAAGAAACCTACATCCACAAAACGGAATGACAAGCACCAGAAATGGTGCCTACATGGGTAGATATCAATTTTTTCCCCTTATTTAATGTCTTTAAAAGACAGTAGACTGTTTAAAGCAAAAACGGTAACAATGCATTGTGGAGTTTTTAACATACAGAGCAGTAAAATGTTTGGCAACAACAGCACAGAGGCCAGGCAGGAAGAAATAAAAGTATGCTATTGTAAGGTTCTTCTACAATATGAATGGTATAATATCATTTGAAGGTGCTCACATGGCTTCACTGGTGAATTCTACCATATAAAGGCATGTACGTGAATATTCATTTAGCTTTATTTCTAACACCCCAAAACTGGAAATAATCCACTTGTCCACCGACAAGTAAATGAATAAAGAATGATATATCCATACAATGGGATACTCAGCAATATAAAGGAATAAACTATTGATACATGCTACAATATTATGAATCTGAAAATATGCCAAGCAAAGGAAGTTTGATAAAAAGAGCATACACACTACCAGTCAGTTCTTGTTATTCATGGCAATTATGTTCTATGAAGTTACCATGAACACTGAATTAGTATGTATTGGACCATTGCTCTTAGAGGAATACAGGGTTAGGTTCCTGCAGTCTCTGGTCACATTTTTGTCAAATGATCAACGCATAACCCTGTTTTATATGTGTTTCCGTTTAAAGACGCCTTATTTAATATATATAGTTGATCCATTAGCATTGAACTCTTAGCCAACAGCACTATAACGCATGCCTGAGTGGAGCTCCTCTAACATACATTATTTCCTGTCATGCACATCACAGCCTTCTTGCACTCGGAATCATTAGCACTTCAGTACAACGCTTGGGAACCATTTTAAGAGCAAAATCCTCAACACAAAGCACAAAAATGTGAAAACACGGCACTAAAAAGACCACGAAAAGGACAATTGCTTAGAGTATGAGAGTCATGTAGAAACAAGTATGAGAAATAAGAGGGCAGAGTGTTGCCTTGTTCAGCCTCAGCTGGGAACATGGGTGCGCTGTCAACCAAATTTTTTTTGCCATTTTGCATGTCTGCGAATGACTAAGAAAATTCTGTGAGTATTGATTCTGGAATTATCAAATAATTTTAGTATGTAAATTTGCCAATACGCACTTTGAATAATGAGCATCAACTGTATATAATTCCCTTATGAAATTTTTTAGAAAATGTGTACAAATCTACAGGGAAAGAAAGCAAATCAGTGGTTGCCCTGGGGATGGGTGGGAGGACAAGGAGGGAGGAATTACAAAGGGACAGGAGACTCTGGAGGGTGATGGGTTCATTATCTTGACTGTGGTGATGACATCACAGGTGCACCCAATGCAAAACTTACCAAGTTGTAATTTTAACGATGTGCCATTTATTCTATGTCATAAGATCACAAAAAAGCTGTGAAAGGATGAAAAGGCCATGATGGTGGAAAGGAGAAGAGGAAAAGACACATTTATTAAGTTTACCTGTGAGGAATTGCTACTGGAGGAGTGAAGGAGAGTGAATTAAGGAAATCAAAGGTAACTTGAAGTTCCAGATTTGATGGCTGGGTTGAGGATGACAGTAATATTGTCAGTAATGAAACTAGACATACAGAAAGATGAGGTTTCTATCGGGTAGAGAAAGTGAGTTCACACTTCAATGACACTACCCCCTTTGAGTCCCTCTTCTCTTTCAATCTATCTAAAGCTCCCATATCACTTCTGCCTATAACATTTAGGTCAGATTTCTGGGTTTATTTTGAAGGCTTCCAAAATGTGGTCCCAACCGATCACATTTTATATCTCATTATTCCCTATCGCATGCCCTCCACTTCAGTCAGGGTGAGTGTTCTCTAAACGCACACCAGATTTGTTTTTAGGTATCTGTCCCTTGAACTAAAAAGCGAGTCTCCTTCCCTCCAAAACCTAAGTCTTGTCTGTCAGAACGTAACCCATATCCTCTCTGAGTTCCCAAAGAGTCGGGACCACCGTGTATTCTGCTTAATTGTTCTCTAATTTTCAAATGTATGCTAATTATACCTTTAATAGAAGCTCACTAACCAGAGAAAGCGAGTAAAGGCACTGGATGTGGGTACTATCGGGTAATCATGGATGAATAAAGACCGAGTCTACTTTTAACTCACTAGGAATCCACCTCTTCAGAAAACAGCTGGACCATTCCTTAAATGTTAAACATAGTGCTACCATATGAACCATCGATTCCACCCCTAGATATGCCCATGACAAATGCAAACAGATGTCCATATCAAAGCTTCTACCTCAATGTTCAAAGCAGCATTATTCATAATAGCCAAAAAGTAGAAAAAAACCAAATGTCCATCAACTGCCGAATGAAGAACTACAAGGTGGCGTATCCATACGACGGCATGGTATTTCTTTTTTTTTTTAAGATTTTATTTATTTATTTGACAGAGAGAGACACAGTGAGAAAGGGAACAAAAGCAGGGGGAATGGGAGAGGGAGAAGCAGGCTTCCTGCGGAGCAGGAGCCTGATGTGGGGCTCGATCTCAGGACCCTGGGATCATGACCTGAGCCGAAGGCAGACGCTTAACAACTGAGTCACGACGGCATGTTATTTCACAATGGAAAGCAAGGAGGTACTGATACACGCTCTAAGGTTGAAGGACCTTAACAACATTGTGCTCAGTGAAAGAAGTCAGTCACAAATGACCATATATTGTTTGATTTCATTTACAGGGAATCTCTAAAATAGGTAAATCTATAGAGATGGAAATATATTAATTTGTTTTCCTGGTGCTAGAAGGGAGAGGTTGGGGAGAAGTGGGAAGTAAGTGCTAATGTGTACAAGGCTCCTTTTGGGGACGGTGACTTCGTTTTCCAAGTAGTTGCGGTGATGGTTGCACTCTGACTGTCCTAAATTCAAATTGATGAATTATGTGAATTATACCTTATGTGAATTATATCTTCATACAGTTGTTAAAAATTAAAAAAAAAAAAAAAGACCGAGTCTGCCTTCAAATGCATAGAGCTGGGGCAATGATGGCATGACGTATCAACCTCACCAAGTACAACAGGACAATAGTAAATTGCAGTAGCTCCAAAGAGACAGTCTTTGCTCTGGGTGACCAGGGAAAACTGCATGGAGGAGTTGACATTTGAGCCAGATCTTGGAAGTTGAGTAGAATATTTGCATGTCGAAAAAGAAGAGGGCTTCATAGGTGAAAAGGCTGGAAGCCAAAGGCGGAGGAGTGGAAAATGGCAAAGGTGCACAATTCATGAGGCGGGGACGGTGTCATACACGTCTTTAAACGTCTCATGGCATTTAGTATAGTAACTGTGCACGGTCCACGTGCAGTAAGTATGTGCTGGGTTGAATTAGTTTTACTTGATTTTAAGTGGCTTCATCTAGATCCTAAGTGAATAATGTGTTCTAAGTGAGGTAGAGAGCTATGTCTTTTATAAGCCTGGGTTAAGTGGCAGGAATTTATGCCACTAATACCAAAATTGGGAGGGTAATTTAAAAATAACTTTAATGGCTTTTTTTCCCAGGCAGCATAGCTATATGTAAAGTAGCTGGTACAGTAGGATCCAGTCCTCAATTGCTCAGATATTCCCTGTCAAATAAGAATATAATACCCTTTTTGCTCTAGTTTAGTAAAACTATGACATTTGTAACCTGTTAAATAAATTACCAAAAAGGTGTTCATTACATCCATACCATATGTAGAAGCCCTCTTTACCACATTAGTTTTGTGATAGTAATTGATATAATTTTTACATTACCTGGAATTTCAAAGAAAAACAATGCTTTATTCTGCTAATGCAGAAACCACCAGAGTTCATAAGAATGGTTATTTTTAATCCTCAAGCCCAAACTTCCAGGAACTTTGGAATAAAATGAAAAAAGCTAATGAGCTATAATTTAATAGTTACAGAAACTCCCACGTTATAAGCTCTCAGGATTTCCCTTCCTGCCGTGAGCTGCCGCGCACATACCACTTACAGACTAACGCTCATTGTTCCGAGGGATACCACTAGTCTAATTTTGAATGTGACATGGGTTATGGGAAATGAAGATCGATCTCACTGTGTAGAATATACATGAGTTGGAACAGGAATTGGGGATCGTAAATAAAACAGATGCCTAGCAAAACCATGCGACCTTACCACTGGAACTGAAGTCCACAGGCCCGATCCATTTGAAGGCTGGTTTACGGCCTCTCTCTTCTGTTACATGCACTTTCTTTATTAGAGCCAAGCTGGTCAGAACATTGGCTATGTCATAGAGGCGTCGTACCTTTGCTTAAAGATATAAAACACAATTATGGTCACGCCGTCTGTGACACCATTACATTTTAGTTGATGTGACAGGTCACTTTTCTCGGCCACCACATAAACCTCCAGCAGAAAGCCATGGGGTGCAGCAGAGGCCGACGGCTCTGTCATGCAATCACCTGGGATTTATGTATCTGATGTGTCTGAAGACACTTTCTAAGGGAAGGTCAGTGTGTTTTTCCTCTTCCACAACTTCACACCCCTTGTAAGAGGCACCTGGTGACAAGCGGGGAGTGCTGAGATGGCAAAAACACCAAGGGAGGGACAGGGGCTGTAATTAAAGGCTTAGTGAATGTAATTCTGCTATGTGGCACATCAAAAACTTGCTCTGGGTTTCTCTCAGCAGGAGGTGATGGTACCAGCTCAAGCAGGCAGCTGGCCTGTGAAAATGACAGGGATCCCCCAGAGCTTCCTGTGAGGCTGTGCTCCTGGGCACAGAAGAGGGTTTGGGGCTCAAGGTTATGAGGTTCAGCTGTGCTGACAACAAGACAGGCAGTTCCTCATCTGAATCCTGGTGCTTGGCCGCCTAGTGGTGGAGGGGTGGGACGGGCATTCCCTGAGTCTTAACAAGGTTTGGGAAGAGACATTTGAAAATGCAGGTACTAGAGGAGAAATTCGGAAGGGGTGGTAAGGCATTCAACAGGCAGGGCAATACCCACAAAGTAATTTCTATTCAAGAAATCGATTTATAGGTAGGTAACCTTGGGGCTACGATCAAGCAAAGGAGCTGTGATTATGGTCCAGAAACAGCAAACATTCACCCCAGATGCAATCTTCTTCCCAATCCTGATAGAGCTGAATTTCATCTAGTCACTTCTCCCACAGGGTGGCTATAATTCCAGTGGAAACAGAAAAAGCAGAGAAAGTTGGGCTCGTGGCTTCCCAGGGCTTGAAAGGGCTACTGGCAGCTAAGGGTATGTGGCTTCACCCAGGCTTGACAGAAAAAGAAGAGGCCCTGGGTGTGCAACTCGGAACCTCTCTCCCTGCCCAGCAGCCCTGTCCCACCACCCCTACCCTGCCCTGCCCTGGCCATTCCTCTGGTTCTTACCTGCAGACACCTTTCATCTCCACCCATCAGGACAGTAGGCAGGGGGTGAGGAAAGAAGGGGAAAGAAAACTCAGACATTCCGCCTTGGATGCAGCACTACTAAAGAGAAATGCAAAGTATCTTACAGCCTCCCTGACCTCCATTTGTGGGATGGCATTCCTCTTCCACCATCCCCTCTAACTGCTGAGGAAAAGGCATCTGACAGAACTTTCATGGGAATTCTAGTATTTACTAACTTACCTCTCATGGCACCAAGAACCTTTATGAGTGCAGGAAAGACTGCACTTCTTAAGAAAAAAACAATTTTTTTTTTTTTTTTCAATCTCAGAGGCAGAAAACAACAACACACGAAATCCCATCCTTTTTGTACTGATAAGTGGACTCAGGTGAAGATACTTACTTTTAAATTTACTATGGTCCGGGGTATCCTGGCTTTCTTCTATCAGTATTTTGGCAGCCACATCAAGAGTAACAATCTTGGTTTTGGAGACGAGGAAGAGCATGACAAACTTCTGGCTCATAATTCTCAGAGACTTGTCTTTTCTACTGTTTGCAGATGCTACAAAGGGAATGAGATGAAAGCATGAAAACATGTGATTTACTACACGGAAGATGGTACTTGGGGTTTGCCAGAGCTACGAACTCTAACAGCAGATGCAAAGATCACTCTGGTTATGGGCAGAAGCCTACTAGACACACATCACCAAGAGATGGCTCATAAAGAAATGAGGTGGATTTCCTTTTCTTTCTTTTTTTAGGTAATCTCTACGTCCAACGTGGGGCTGCAATGCATGAGCCTGAGATTAAGAGCTGCAAGCTCTACCGACTGAGCCAGCCAGGTGCCCCAAGAAAGGAGACGGACTTTCTCATGGCTTGGACAACTCCTCTCCAAGAGGCATCTCTGAAACCACTCGTGATGCTTTATGCTCCTACTTCATAGGATACAATCCATGAGGTGGTTTTCCTGAAGCAACTTTTTGAAAAGATCAACGCAGAAGAAAAAAAAGGAGAGGGTAGACTTCAGGGATTGTTTTCAGAACATCAACTCTTCCCAAAGGGCAAGAACTCTTGTTTTTATTTCTCTGCGCCCACAATATCTCGAATATGTGAAACACGGTAGGTGCTTGCCCCTTCCATCGCTTTTCAGAAGGAAGTGAAGAAATAAGCCAGACATGAACAGGAGACACTGATCAGATGTGGGCTGCCATAGACGGCAGGCAAACCATCCCCGACAGATGGCTGTCTCCTCTGGTTATTAGGATGAGAACTGGCTCATGGGGTGGCGCTAAAAGGCATGAGGCAGTAAATCTAATGAAAACCAGGCCCACGTTTCCATTCCTATTATATTTGCAAGTGAAATGTGAGTGATACTTGTACTTTACCGTCTTAGCAATGGGGATTAGGGTGAGAATGATGGAGATCAACGGTTAAAACAGAAAGAGGATACAGAGGAGCTGAGCGGGAAGAACAATGTAGATACATATTTTAAAAATGCTACATCAAATGACAGGAGGGGTTATCGATCTTTCTTATCAACATGTTCTCCGATCGGGGTTCTTTTCTAAGTAATCTACTCTAATTTAAAAAACTGAATTCCCCAGGGGGCCTGGGTGGCTCAGTCGTTGGGCATCTGCCTTCGGCTCAGGTCATGATCCCAGGGTCCTGGGATCGAGCCCCGCGTCGGGCTCCCTGCTCAGCGGGAAGCCTGCTTCTCCCTCTCCCACTCCCCCTGCTTGTGTTCCCTCTCTCGCTGTGTCTCTCTCTGTCAAATAAATAAATAAGATGTTTAAAAAAAAAACCATTGAATTCTCTGAAAAGATAACTTCTTTCAGAGAAAAATTTCCTTAAAGGCTCACAAATAGACGTCAGCCTGGGGCCATCAGTCTGAAACGAGAGCACTGTCCGCGATCGATGGTCCAAACATACCAAATACCAAGTGAACTGCCACTAGACAGGCTTGAGGTGAGGCTGAGGGGGAAGCCCAGTCGGGGAGCCATCTGTCTCCCTTTCTTCAGTAGATCCAATAGGAGGGCATCTCCCTCTAGGGCTGTCAATCTGCACTTCCCACCTTAGCAGTGAATTTCTACGGAAGAGACCATCCCTCCCTCTCTGCCGTTACTTGTGTGGTTACTGTGAACTCACAAGAGGGATAGTCGGGTTCCGAGAAATCCAGTAACTGTGGATCTTGAGAATCTGGATAGTTGTCTTTTTTACGTTCTCCAAGTTTATAATCCATCAGATCTAGCTCCTTCTGCTGGAGATGTGCCATCTGCTCTTCATATTTCTGCTCCTCTCCCAGTCTCTGGAGGCTCCTCAGGGTTTTTGGCAGGCTGTGCCGGCCATGCCAGCCATATTGATTCTTGGCCACCCGGCTGACCAGATGCAGCGATTCCAGCACATTTACAATGTCATAGATACGTCTCCTTTCAACGCCTGTTTGGAAAATAGAAGTTGACCGTCATCCAGGCAAACATTTTTGAGTAAAAATTCCTTGAGGGTCTGGACCGTGTCTGTAAACTACTTTACATGATGCCCATTATAATGGCCAGCAAGTGCAGATGCTCTAAAAGTTCAACCTATAAGGATGCAAGCAACAGAAATTATTTTTCTTTCTTATTCTGGGGATCCAACCCTTAACAAGAGCTAGGATAAAACATCCACCCAGACATGATGAGAGTTCCATCTCTCTTACATAAACAATAGTATGTCTTTTCTTTGGACCTGTTAGGTAAGCCATGCAAACATTTCAGCATGTTAAAACGGGTGGGATTGAGCATCACATGTACTAGTGTGTCTAACGGACGCCTGATGAACACTGTTTGGTTGATTTGGACTTGTATTCCTAATTATGCAGGCTATAAAATAAACTGTCCAATGTATGATACCTCATTTGGACAATTCTATCCTTTCCTGGAGTTTGAATGATGTGAAATAATTATCTTGTTAACTCTCTTAATGGCCCAGTTAGGAAAGCAGATGGCAAATATTTTGTTTCCTATTTTGCACTGGAAACTCAGGTGTCAAGAGCTTGGGCACCCTTCTCAAGTTGCTGGAGGAAGCTACAGCCACGGCTGAACAACACATGAGTTTCCTTTTGCTCCTCTTGGCCACCGATAACTGTCCCTCTGTTCCCATTCACAGGCGTTTGGCCCAAACAGCCCAGCGATAAAGCACAGAGACTCTTCGTGTCCAATACAGGCTGACCACGGAGTTCATCAATTGTCTACCCACTTTCCCAACACTCTCAAAATAGCCAGAATTATGAGCGGTCTATCACATTTACCAAAAATATGTACAGCAGTTAAGCCCGGGGGCTTGGAGGTCAGACTGCCTGGATTTGAATCAACTCTGCTCTATCCCTTAGTAGTTGTGTGATCCTCGAAAGTTACTTCATCTTTCTGTGCCTTAGTATTTATCTCATAAGGTGATGAGGATTAAACGTGGCCATAAATGTAAAGGGTCTGCAATAGGGTGTCACTTTTATCTACTGTTTGTATATTATTCTTAAATACTTCCTGCACAGCATTGGAAATACCCAAAGTCCCTGCTAGCATGAGAGGTCACAGTAGAAACAGATTTTAAAACTTTCCTCTGACTCATCCTGTTGTGCAACAGGCCCTTAGGCTTTTGGAACCCAGTGGCTCTTTTGCTCTCATCTAAGTCCCCATAGCAAAAGCCTCCAGGCAGCTCCCAGAAAACTGGTCCAGCTACAAAGATGCCCTCTTTCTGCTCACTTGCCAGGAGCTGTTATATAATCAGAGCAGACAGTGAGCGTAGCTTCTGACCCTTCCAAGATTTAATAGAAAAAACTGACCAAATTACGATGAAAACTTTGGAGGTGAAGTAAAGTTCTTTCCTATGCATGAAGACGCATTTCACAGTCAATCAGAACATATCGGCTCCTGACCCTGAAAAGTTCTTCACCCTCAGATGCCTGCTGGAAGGTGCAGCCCCTTGTCCAGATCTGCTTGGCTTTATTCCAGTCTGTTTTCATATATTAACACATCTTGTTTAGAGTGTAACATTCTATAAACCTTCCCATTAGAAATGTCATGTGAATGCAACTGAGACACCCCAGAGCCAGCCATATGCTGGGCTGTTTTGTTATTTTGTATTAGATACAAACTGTTAAATCTCCATCTAGTGGAGAGAGATCCTAAGAAGGGAAAATAAAGGAAGATTCTGACCACTTGGAGGTAAGATGAATGTTTAATATGCACAATGGGTGTTTAATAGGTGGTGCTGATAAAAGCCAATGTGGCAGCTGCCTGCCTAGATAATCATCTTTTCATTCTGGTCTGTGTTTAACTGTCTACCGGCTGGTGCACTGAAAAGTTCCATTTCACAGGTCTCCAGATCTTCGGGTTACTCTGGGGCTTGCTCTGTCAGGAAGGTTTTTCCTGGCACCCAGTCTTCTTTTTCTTTTGGATCAACACAATCCTATTAATCCTAGTCATAGCATTAGTTATGTCCCCCCAAGGATTTAGCAGTCATTACCATGCTTTCCTTAGTCCTCGATGGAGCTTATTGAGAACATCTCTCAGCCCAATAAACTCATTTCTAAATCTGTGCTATTGTCCATTTACTAAAGTCACTCCTGGTTCTTTAACTTCTTCTAAAAAAAGATTTTATTTATTTATTTATTTATTAAGAGAAAGTGTGCTTGAGCAGGGGGTGGGGGGCAGAGGGAGAGAATCCCAAGCAGACTCCCCGCTGAGTGCTGAGCCCGACCCAGGTCTCAATCCCACAACCCCGAGATTATGACCTAAGCCGAAATCAAGAGTTGGATGCTTAACTGACTGAGCCACGTAGGTGCCCCTAGTTCTTTAATTTCTTACCTGTAATACCCATGGTCAAAGCTACATGGGACCACAATCTGGGAAATAATGCGATTGAAATGTTCTGAACATTCTAGGTTAACGTATGTTCTTATAGCTTGTGACCTGGGATACAGTAGGGAATTTAGACTCAACCCCAAGAAATAGTTACCCCTGAAGTAGCTTCCGAGAAGAGACCCTGTTTTTGAACCTCACAGGAAGAGAGATGATAAGTTCATTTTGCAGGATGATCATGAGGCATTAGGAAGCTGTTTGCAAAATCTCTGGAATTCTGCTCCCACCAGCCATAACATGGGCATCTGTAGCTCACATGAGAGTAGGAGTCCAGCTTCCTTTCTGAACCCCCAACCCCCAGATCTGTAACATAGCCTTCTGACACCTAATCTTTTGTCTTCACACTAACATCATGGAAGTTGGTCCATGGAGAAAGCTGGCTTCATGAACCCCAGTGAGAAGGACACTGTGTGCTATTGTTTTACCCTCATCCTCTGTAAGACTAGTTTCTAGGACCCTGTGCCTCGAATGGGTGTATCCTAAGCCTCTATCCAACTGGGTCACCTTCCCCTTCTTGTTTCATTGGCACTGATGCCAAATACTGTATTCTACTTCTGGGCTCCCCAACCAAGGCACCATACTTCCTCTTCCTAAAGGTGGAGAGGACAATTTGGGGAGGGCGGAGAGAGATCTAGTAAGAGCCGAGTAGAAACTATTCCACATAACAGTAACAGTTACCCATGCAAGGCCCTGAGTTAGGCATGTCACTGAGATTATCCCCAACTTTGCTAAGTTTCTGCAAGGTAGGTGCTATGATCCTTGTGTTATAGACAGGAAAAGGTTAATTAACTTTTTAAAACTCTCATGGTCTGTAAATTGGAGAGCTGGGCTTCGAATCCAACCCCATCTGACCCAAAGCCCAGCCCATGGTCTTTCTATCACAACCCATTGCTTCCTCATTATCTCCATTTCTGCTAAAAATATTTTTAGCCATCAGTTTGAATAATTCAGATTGACAATCATCTACTGGGGCACATCTCTCAGGGCTATGGGAAGAAAGAGAACCAAAAAAATAAATTAAAAATATAATCTACCATACAGCCTGTTTAGCTGATTATTTCTTTTTTTCTGTATGTGCAACCTCCTTATTTTTTAAGGGGACACCCTCGACCTTCAAATCCCTGCGATTTCTGCTTATTAAAGATTGTCAACAGTATGTTTACCCTGAGACGAACTGCAATCCACGTCCACTAGGGGTCTCTATTCTGAGGCCACTGTGCGTGTTTACAGCCCATACACCACCGCACATTACACACACCCAAGCCATGTGAACACACGCACTCCTCTTTGTTATAAGGTTTCGCTGTTTGAGTTATGTCCAGATGTGCTTCTCCTCGTTTGGTAGGCTTGCTGTGGATATCACAGTATATAGCTTCAAACATAATGCTCTTGCTCTCAAATCCTGTTTGATCACAGAAATAACACCAGGTCTGAACTCTAGAAGCAATATTAAAAATAAACAGCAAGGCATTTTTAAATGTTTTTAGACTGTCTGAAATTAAAAATGAGATATTAATTTTTAATGAGTCTTTTTTACAAATATTTTATAAGGTCAAAAAAAAAATTTCTGTTTGACCCTCAGGCCCAGAAGACTCCCTAGAATCCTATGCATAAGGATGAGAAATTTGATGACAGGAGGAAACTCGACTTGCTCCTCTGTTCTTACCATTCAGAGCCCACCCTTTACTTAATGAGAAGCTATCTGAAGACTTGGGCCTGCCCGAGGAAACCGGTTTCCCACTGTGACTAGAGATAGGCCTGCAGGTAATCTGATGATACATACCAAGACTGACAGCAACTTCATCTAGGGAGATGGTTGTTTTCTCAGTTGACAAGGGATAACTTGGATAGCGAGCTAGAAACTTCTGGCACAGGAGTCCTAGACTTTTCTGTTTTCTGCTTGGCCTTTGCTTTTCAAATTCATCCACAGCACTGTCCCCAACCACATCAAGCTACAAAGGGCAGACAAAAGGGAGGGGAGAGATGTCATAGTTAACATCGTAATAGAGAAATTACATGAAAAATGCAAGAGAAATGCATAGAGAAATGAGAGTTATTGGCAAAGTGAGGGGGACATCCCAGTCCGAATCATGCTAGATTCTGCTTAAAATATATTTCCTAACCCAATTTTCTTAATGTTTTACTGACTGTTTTCTTTGGACTGAATTTTTTCTCCTTTGAAACTTGAGGGTGAGTCTTTTGGTTAAAAGCTTAAAAAATGAAAAATGAAGTTGTTAATGGCTTGTTACACCCTTGCTACTAATGTGCTCACTAGATCAGCATCACCAGGAGCTTGTTAGAAACATAGAGTCTCAGGCTGTATCCCAGACCTGATGTATCAGAATCTAGATCTTGGGTGATTGCTACTGACATAGAAGTCTGAGATCCACTGGCCTGCATTGTGTCACCAGTGTTTTATTTTTTACAACTGACCAAGGGTAGATGGAACTGAACAAGGGCAGTTAAGTCTTACTCCTCCTTATTCTTTCTTATTGCAAGTACGCTTAAGTAGTATCCTTGTCTCATCAACCCATATTTGAAAAATGCTCAATTCAAGCCCAAGAAAGTAAAAGGCTTTTCAATGAACAGATTCAAGGAGAAAAGTGATATGATTATCTCAATGGCTTTCAGAAAAAGCCTTTGCTAAATTTAATACCCATTCATGATTTTCAAAAATGCCCTTAGAAAACTAGAAATGGAGAACTTCTTTAATAAAAAGTGTATCTATAAAAACCCAACAGCAAACACATGTCTTAATGGGAAAATCTTGGAAGCATTCCCTTAAAATCTGGAAAATGATAAGGATGCCCATTATCACTGTTCCTCTTCAACACCATATTGAAGATCCTAGCCAGTGCATGAGGACAAGAAAAAGAAAGTGGGGCAAGGGATTAGAAAAGAATAAGCAAGACTTTCATTCTGCAGAAGATACGATTGTTTATATATAAAACTCAAAAGTATCTCAGACAAATTATTAAAAATAATAAGCGAATTTGCAAGGTAGCTGTAAAGGCAAAACAATATATCTCAAAAATCACTTGCATTGTCATACAGTAGTAAATGAAATGACAAGACATTATTTACAATAGCAATAAGGATATAACAAATGTTTTTAGGAACAAATCTAGCAAAAATCTATCTGCATAAAATATTAAAACTTAGATCTTAGAGAAATGCACTTAAAACTTAGAGAAATATACTGTCTTCATGGATAGGAGAGCTCAGTACCATAAACAGGTTTATTCTTCTCAAATTAATCTACATGTAATGCAATTCCAATTAAAATCCAATCTGAAGTATATAAGGAAAAACAAAAGGCAAAGAATAGCCCACATACTCTGAAGCAAAATAAGTTGAGTCTTGCTTTACCTGAAATCAAGGCTTATTACAATCTGGTATTGATGTAGGGATTCACAGATTGGCCAATGGAACAAAAGAGAGCCTAGAAAGAGATGACAGAGATAGCCCTGCCAACTTGGGAGAACAAGAAGGACTGAATAAATAGCTCAAGGACAATTGATTACAACAAGCAACTTAAAAAAAGATAAGCACCAGATTGAAATGTAACACATTGAACTGATAAAGGTTTATTTTCAAGACTATAAAATAAACTCTTACATATCAGCATGGAGAAAAAGAACCTAATAAAAATCAGCAAAGAACATGAAGAGACACTGCACAGAAGAGGAAAAAAAATGTGGTGGCCAATAAACATGTGAGAGAGGCTTAGCCTCATTAGTAATCAAGGAAAAACAAATGAATATCACAAAAATACACAACTGCATACCCATTAGATTGGCAGAAATTAATAAATTTGACAGCGTCAAACGTCAGAGAAGATGTGGATCAATAAATGTTCATACATTATTGGTGGGTGAAAATAGCACTTGGGAAAGCAATTACTTTGTGAATATTTGCATATGCAATGACTTAATAATTTCACTACTAGATGTATACCCTAGAACAGTAGTCCTCAAACTTTTGGGTCATAGAGTCCCTTTATATTCTTAAAAATTACTGAGGAGTATCTTCCTTAAATTGAGTCCTTATTACCTTTGGATAGAATATCTGATCATATAAAATATACTTATCATGTACATAATATTTTTAGCACCCAAAACCAGATTCAGGACATCTTTTTCTCTTCTCCTGTCCCAATTTCTTCATTTTGGTAATTTTTATAGCATAAAAAATCCCCAAGAGGAGGAAAAATGGAGAAATAACTGACTTTTCTTAGCAAATCTGGGAAGAAGTTTGATGGGAGAGTGAAAATTATTGGCCACTGATTTTTTTTTTTTTTTAAAGTATAGATATGCTTTTTATTCAATAGCTCTGGTTCCCCAGAGGACAGAAAATTTAAAGATGATTTAACTTTAAGGCCCCAAACCAAAGAATTGAACATCTATAAAAATAATGAAATTTCCCAAGTCTAAAATAAACTATTGCCCTCAAAATCGGAGCAAAATTACAATTTGCAGCAGCATAAAAAAAGTCCAGTCTTCTTCATTAAATCAAAATTATTAAATAGTTTTGCTTAAATCATTGTCATTTTTTTTTAAGAACACTGCAAGTTTTTTTTTTTTTTAAGATTTTATTTATTTATTCATGAGAGACAGAGAGAGAGAGAGAGGTAGAGGCAGAAGCAGGCTCCCCGCAGAGCAGGGAGCCCGATGCGGGACTCGATACCAGGACCCTGGGATCATGACCTGAGCCGAAAGCAGATGCTTAACTGACTGAGCCACCCAGGCGTCCCAATGTCATTTTTAAAATATGTACTGGGAATAGTCAAGGGAGTAGCATACAGAAGAGAAAAAAGCATTCATTATGAAAAAAATGAGACAGAGTAAGAATTCCATTTCAGCTATAAATAAGATATTAAGTTTTGGTATATTTTGATATCTATAAATAGCAGGGATTTGTGGATGAAAGATACTGCCTACCTAAAGGTATTTTACCATTACAGACATTTGACATGCCATTAAATCACCCCAAGAGCAAAAAAAAAAAAGAAGACATGAAGTTTAATACTGCTTTTGGCTCAGTAGTAACTGAAGAATTGAGAATTCTATGACTTAAATAATCAAGTAAAAATTTAAAAGTTCTATAAAGCCTGAGGAGTACAGCCTGTTTACCTGCAGAGAGTCTGTAAAGGCATCATCCTTGTTTTCAATGGGTCGGAACAGTCCCTTTTTCTTCTCCCGGTCTCTTATGTCCGGGCTGGCGGCGCTAATGAGCATCTTCAGGTTAGCTGTGGGGGTCCATGGTTCTGCCTGCTGTCTGTCAACAAGCTTAACTGGAGTAATGGGATTTCTTTCTGGAGTGAAGATTTTTTGCTTTGATAAATCAATTGGTTCATTTTTTATTGGAGTCTTCGGGGCCATCCTTGAGCGATCAACAAATATATTTTCCTATTTAAAAAAAAAAAAGAGAGACCTTTTAGCAAGAAAGAGAAAGAGCAGGTATAAGCTAAGAGCATTTTGTTCCCATGATTCACCAAGACATGAAGATACAAAGAGACCATATGTTCAGGGCTGAAAAATATCAGGCTAGGACTAATGAAAATAGAAGCGTTTGTGGAATGCAAGAGTGGTTCAGCGAGAAAATGATCATCATCTACTGCTTTTTTAAAAATTTTATTTAAGATTTAATTTATTTATTTGAGAGAGAGCGAGTGAGCGAGCAGGGGGAGGGCTAAAGGAAGAGGGGAAGAGAGAGAGTCTCAAGTAGACTCCCTGCCAAGTGTGGAGCCTGAGGTGGGGCTTGGTTCCAGGACCCCAAGATCATGACCTGAGCCGAAATCAAGAGCCAGATGCTTAACTGACAGAGCCACCCAGGTGTCCCTCATTTACCTATTTTAAACATACTTCTCATGCATCTCTGTGGACAAAGTCATGAGTGTATCTGTCACTGGTAGATGCTTGTAATAGTTGGGGATGATAAGGGCAACTGTGGGTTGAGTCCATACTGCTTCTTTATTTACAGGTTTGTACTAACTAGTGCAGTACAATTTTGCTTTTGTCATTCGGTGTTCACCAGTGCTAATATAGCGATTAGTAGTAGGACCAATGGAAAAGTATCCAACAAAATGCCGCATTTCAAACCAACCTGGAGGGCTGTAATTCCCCTAGAGCAGTGCTTCTCAAACTATCTGTGGTGAAGGGCCAGGGTTTTTTATTTCCAAACCCCCATATACTGATACATGGTTTTACTTCATAGGACTCACATGCAACTTCCACCACCTGTGACTCTCCATTTGCGTTTGTCACTCAAACAACCTACAGTCCGTTCAACAGGAAGAGACCTCTGATCATAGGCTTAGAGCAAATTGCTACAGAGCTTTCCAAGTGCTTGACTCTCAAGTTCTGCTCTTAATTTTTTGCAGTTTAGTAATAATTTGTAGACTAGCACGTGCCCCCAGACCACACTTTGAGTAGACCATCTCAGATAATTATAAGAAAAGATCAATGATGGATCCATTATGTTCCTTAGTCCACTATGAAGAGGGACTAAGTATACGAGAGCCACATTTGGAACTACCAAGTAATGAAAACAAGTTTCTTTCCCCGGAAGTAAGGATTTGCCGTCTGAAAACGGAAAGATTCTGCTCTTTCTGCAGCAGAATTCCCCTCCAGGCAATCGTAACTTACATAATGATGAAGGCGGATGCGTTAAACATTTGTCATTCCTTTTCCTATACATGTATCACTCTATAGCAACTGCATGCTTGCATTTTGGCTGGGCAGTGGTTTAAAAAAGGTGCTTTCCTATAAATGAGCAACATGTGAAGAGAGGCAAAAAAGACTGGGAGCAACTGGAGTTTGTGTTAGCAGGGCCAACTCTTGTTCCTTGGATCAGCAGAAGCTGCCAGCTGGCCATGGTGAGGCTCTGCCCCAGTGTCACTGGAAGGAAGGGAGGTGGGGACAGGGGTGACAATTTCCCACCACAGTGGCAACAAGCTGACAGCCTGGAGACTTCATCTACGTACATCTCTTGACACGTCCCTACTAGTGTGCAATTCTGATGAAGTCTTCTACAAGGGAACTCTGAAGGGAAAGTATTGAGTATTTACTATGGTCCACACCCCATTTTATGTACTTTATGTCTGTTAACTCATCCAATCCTGTGACCTAGGTGCTAGTATTTTTCCAGTCTACAGATGAAGAAACTGAGGCACAGAGAGGTTAAATAACTTGCCTGAGGTCACATACGCCCTTCAGTCAGTATAAAAGTCATTGGTATGCAAGAAACAGCGGCCAGGAGACGTTTCTGAAATCCTGCATCTAGAAATGAGCTTGTCCTGCGTGCAAACCGGGAGGAAGTTATCCTTACCACAGCTCCCACAAAAGGTACCCAGCAGGCCACTGATCCCCATTGGCACCTACGGAGAGGCAGGAAGGGGAAGGAGCTCTGCAGGCAGGCTCTAGGGCCGCTTACCTGCCTCGGCTACTTTGCAGCAGCCTGAGTGGGAGCAAGCTGCTTGTCTTCACCGTATTTTAATTCTCTCCACTGAAAATGAAGTTCATAAACATACCAACCGCAAGGACTATTAGAATACTTCCTGGCACACAGCAAGCTCTCAATAAAACTTAGCTGTTACCCGTTCCCCTCTGTCCCATTCTTTCTTACTGTTCGTTCTGGGCACTCAGAGCTAATATGATATAGCACGTCATATTGCTATCTAACTTCTCAGGTGCATATCTTGACTCATTAATGAGAGTGTGCACTTCCGGAGGTCAGGGAGCAAGTTCCACATGTCTCCATCCTCACAATTTTTGGCACAATGCCTTCTCCTTACAGATGCTGAAAGAACACGGTGCCTTGATTATCTAGTTTTCCAAAAAGCATCCCTGGTGTGGCCCAGGCGTGCTGAGGTGGCCAGAGATCCACCCTCCTTCCGTACTGTCTCTAGGGTACCTACCTATTCTCGCAGGAATGATGAGCTCCTACTTTTTCCCTATGGAGGAACAATTTAGATGCATTATTTCCTCCAACACTACAGTTTAAGTAAAACTTAAAGCAGGAGGGGAGTTAGGTTACCTGCTAGGTTATGCCTGTAGCATACCTCCACGAAAAGGAAAAAAAAATGCCATGCAAATTTGCATTCTGAGATCTCAGATGGGCAGAAAGTCAACGGTACTCTAACCAGACCCTGCTTCATCTGTCTGTCTAGCCTGCAGTCCTGACACGGTGCAAGTGGAAGGGGAGTTAGAATTTGCAAATGTGGTTTTTGTCTCAGCTCTGTATCTTTTTGATCCTGGACAAATTGCTTGTTCCGTCTGGGCTCAAGTTTCCTTATCAATAAAATAAGGGGTTCCAACTAAAGTTAACTACCTCCGAGGCTTTCCAGCAAGGCTTCCCAGCTGTGTGGTGGCCACAGGGCTGCACTGAGATCTCTTCAGGAATGAATGACTCAGGATGGCTCTGAGGGGTCATCCTAGAACTTCCAATTGGGTAAAGTCCAGACCTCCCCTGAGACCGTGTTGCAGATCTGCTTCTCCCTCTGTCCAGTTTTGCTGCCTTCCCCTCCCACCCACAGGCCTGGATCCCCAGAGCCCCCCCTAACAAACCTCCTGTGCACTGACTCCATGTCAGATCTGCCTGCCAAGAAATCTAAGCTGCAAAGCCCAGGAAGTCACCTCCGCGATCAGAGAGGGCCTGCGGAGATGTAACCCACGAAACAGGCTCTCCAGTTCTCATATGCAAATGGAGACCACATTGCCTGGCTTACTTGCCACAGAAGTGCTGGGAAGGTGGGATCAGATGAGGAAGGTGAAGGCAGTTTGTAACTTGTGAGTGCTATACAGATGTGTGTGATCATGAAGTACACCAGCACGTCGACTCTGCTGTATACTGCCAGAGAAAGGCTTTGTAGTTAGATCTTGGTTCAAGTCCTGCTTGTGTCTCAGATACAGCTTTGATCGTGTTCCCTCAAATAACATATACAATGATCAGCCTTGTCCAGGCCCTTGGCAATATTTTGCCAACTGCTTTTCCAGTTCCATCTCATGCCTATTCCACATTTCGCCCAAACAGTACACTTGCTTTTCTTCAAACTTGCCCTACACCATGACTTTGTCTTTAATGCTATCAGTGAAGCTTCGCCCTTTGAGACCCTACCTATGCTTTAGGCCTAGCTCACTGCAAAGATGACATATTAGGAAGTGTCTCCTAGCGATCAACCAACAACTCTCTTTCTCTTCAGAGCACACTTTCTAGAATGAGTAATCCATACCAACGGCTTTCCCCTGCCCATCTCCCAAGGGTTCCTCAAACCACCAGGCTGTTCTGATCCATTGCTTTTACCTAGGTCACCTCTCATTTGCCAGATCAATAGCAAAACACCTCATTTGACCTCACTGCCGTGGTTGAGACTGTTGACTGTTCTTTGCTCTACGAAACACGCAGCCCTTCTGAAATAGCACACTTTCTCTCTTGGTTCTCTTCCTACTTCTTGGACTATTTCTTCTCAGTCTCCTTCCTTGGTTCCTCTTTTTCTGCTCTTAAAACCTCCACCCTCCACTCCTCTCTGTTCGCTCTCTCTGGGATAGTTCACCCAATCTCATGTCCATGGCTTTAAAACCAACCTGTATGCTGACAGTTCCCAAGTTCGTATCTGGCTAGGACTTTTCACGAATTCCAAAATCATGCAACCAGTGCCTCCTGCACATATTTATCTACCTATAATCATACAGGAACAAAGATTTAGTCCAAATCTAACTTACCTTTTTTCTTCATCACTCCTAAAAGTCATGGGTGACATTTAAAGAAAACCTGTGCCCACTAAGTCTGGGCATTGTCTCCAAATGTACCTGCTTATTTCTACTCCTTACCAGTTCCCTTCCTCTCCACTTGCTTAAGTTAGCATTCATTCCTTCAAGCCCTTGTGAGGCATTATCTCCTTCACAAAGCACTCTGACAGCTCAATCCTTACTGCTCACCCCTGTGTGCCAAACCATCCATTTTCTTTTGTCCTCCCCAAATGCACTGTAAACAACTTGTTTATTATCTCATAACTGGACTCGGTAAACTTGGGTAATGAAATAGAAAACTCTTATATATTTAAAAAAATTTCTCTGTAAGTAGCAAGAAGGTGCGTGCATAATACAGTACTTACAACTGTTGACAAATGTGCAGAAAGTCAAAAAAAGAGAAATCCTCTCAACTCCAGCTGACCCACAAAACACTGTACCAGGCATCCCTCAGAGGGTTTCAAGCAACAATTCAGCACCACTAGCTGTGAATATCTTGAACATTACTCGAATGCCTACACCTCATGTTGTTTCTTCTGCCTACAATGTCCTTCTCGCTCACTCTTGTTTTTTTGTAGGTTGAATGTCCTCAGCCATTGAGGCTTAGCCCAAATGTTACCTCCTCTGTGAAGCTTCCCAAATCTCCCAGAATTCCCTGTGAATTTATTTCTTCCTCCTTTATTTTGCCAAACATTTTGTCCCTGCTCCTACAATGGCACTTACCAAATCACAGTACAGTTGGTTAGTTTTGCATCTGAGACCCTGAAAGTCTCTCAGGTAAGTGAGGGCAGGGCCAACATGTTTGGCTTTGGGTTGTCAGTTCCACTGAGGACAGTGTAAACAGTACGTGTTACTGGGTTACAAACACCTAAAGAGGGAGGTGCTATTTATTAGCTCCAATTTACGGAGGAAAAAAACAGGTTGAAAGAGGTGAGGAAACCTAAACCGCTGTGTCCCAGCACCTGGAACATAATATTTATTGAGTGATTGTATAAATATATTAGTTCAAGGTTACAGAGCTAATAAATGGCAGAGCAGGAAATCAAACCCAGATCTCTGTTACTGCAAATCCCATGTTCTCACCAGCCCTAGAAACCCTCCTTCCTTTACTACATTGCAAGGTGAAAAAGACAAAACCCCTCCAGTATCTGGGCAGAAGCACTGTTCTCATTCCTTTCCTTCTCTTTGAGAGGTAAAATCATCTCTGCTCATACATTCCATTTCAAACATTTTAACTGCTTTTCCTGTCTCTTTTGAGTGATTTGAGTTTTTCTCAGCATGCATTAAAATGGGAAAGATCAACTGGACACAGCACTCACTGATGCTAACTAGAGTAGAGTGCCCTTGTGGAAGGCACTTGATAAAAAAATCACTGACCCAGAAGGAAAGAAGTGGACCCTGACTCAGGCTTTATATAAGTGTATACACAATCTTTCAAGGCTATTCCATCCGAATTATAAAGGAAAACAAAAAGTTTTGCTCCGAAACTCTCAAAGCCAAAACCCTCAATATACATTTTAAAGTCTGGGCATTTCCACCCTCATATGGCTTAGGTAATTTTTAGAAAGTCCTCTTGGAACCAATAATGTTTTGGTATACTTCTTTTCCTAACAAAAAGTTTTTGAATGCTAGGAACAACAATCTACAAAAAATATACAATTGCACACCTATCCAAAATGAACAGTTGTCAAGTATTCTTCAAAGGTTCACATAACAGGTGCTTTGCAACCGGCAGTTTCACTGTTGATGCGAAGCCTAAAAATAAGACTAGGAACCTAGAGAAGTTCAATGCCCAAGAAAGTTGCTATGCTCAGATTTGTATGCAAAGCTTCTATATCTGGGTTTGCTCTATCTATTTGGCTTCTGCCTAAAAATGCTTAGACAGGGGCGCCTGGGTGGCTCAGTTGGTTAAGCGACTGCCTTCGGCTCAGGTCATGATCCTGGAGTCCCGGGATCGAGTCCCGCATCGGGCTCCCTGCTCAGCAGGGAGTCTGCTTCTCCCTCTGACCTTCCTCCTTCTCATGCTCTCTGTCTCTCATTCTCTCTCTCTCAAATAAATAAATAAAATCTTAAAAAAAAAAATGCTTAGACATTCACTAACGAGCTATTGTACTTTTCAGTAGGGCACTGGCTGGTGAGTGTGGTTGTGCTGATGAGGGTATGGTGATAGTTTAGACATTACTATGGGCACTTTATTTCATTATGTTTCTTGAAGACTCAACCAAGGTCTTAAAAATCACAAGGGGTGGAAAAAGGGAGGGAAAGGCTTAGCACAAAACCAGCAGTAGCACTGTCAAATTATTTAGAGTATGCTTAGTGGGCTAAGTCATTTTATCTCCCTATATATGGGAGACACAGGTCATAATTTGGGGTGAATGGAACAGCCACTAGGAGCTGGATCATTGGTACGAAGAACATTTCATAGCTCTTTAATAATCCAGCATTACAGTATAAGGTATAGACCTTATTTCTTGGGAACTAAGGCTTCACGTTCCTGTGCAGCATTAGCTAATTCCACTCTTGACAACTATAAGTATTATAAACTTTTGATTGCAGTGTCCAGCACATCTTTGATTCATGTAAATTGGTTCCAACATTACATCTAGCTTATAGCCTCTTTCCACTGCACAACTGTTGAGTGGGAAACTCAACAATAATGGTTTGAATGCCTTCATTGTAAAGAAAGTATATTTCTATAATGTTAATCAAAATTAATTATTACGTTTATAAGGCAAGTACAAGTGTTATGTTGGAACACTTCATTGAATTAGACATCACCATCCTAAATATGTTAGCGCTTTAAGGTATTTAAGTGCACTTACCTTTTGCGCATTTTCCCCATCTTCAATTGCAAAATCTAGTCTGGACTGCCTGGGGTTGATCAGGTCTTTTAGTGTTAAACAATTTACCTCCATCTGTAATGCACAATTACATTAGAAAGTGATTTTACAGTTGGATGTTTTCTCCTCCAACAAAAATATCTATTTATTACCTGCTCATGAACATGAACTTCCCCAACCTAAACTCCTCCTAGGAATTTCCAGGAGTGTAGCCATGCCCCAACTCTAAAATGCACTTGAATGAACACGAGCCCTTAAAGTGTGCTTGGAAATTACTAAAAACCTGGGAAGAAAACAAAAATCGACAAAAATGGTAATTTTTTATGAAAAGCAACAGCACCAGACAAAGTTACCAAGTCAGGAGAGTGTAGGGCAAATCTGTCAGAAAGTACAGGGTCTCCTGGGTCAGTTAATTTTGGCGCAAAGAACTGGGAGGAATTCGGCTTTGAGGGGGTTTTGAATCGGGGGGGAAGGAAACCTGATCGCCAGACCAAACCCACTCAGCTTTTAGCGCAGCCCCTTCCCAGGCCTCCAAGCGGACCCCAAGGATAAACTCTCCCAATGAATCCCCCAGATCTCGAGGAAAGACAAGTCCCTTCTACTGCTCCACGGGAGGGAGAGCTGGAACCAGGACACCCCACGCACGCCTGGTCCGGCCGCAGAAATGCCTCGATCCCCGCCAGCAGGGGAGAGGGGTGGCAGGCTGGCAGCCTGGGCGGGGGTGTCCCCTTTCCCCCCAATTCCCGCCTCCTCGCAGAGCTTAGGGCCGCACGCTACTTACTCCCACTTTGAGAAGGAGGCTTCCTGCCTCTGGGGACCTCCACGACCCCACACCGGCGCGGGACCAGCGGGGCGAGGCGATCAGCAGACGGGCGGCGACATCGGGCGGGGAAAGTGAGGCGCGCAGATCCCCGCTCCGACTGCCCTGAGCTGGCCGGGACCCCGCGGCGTCCGGGCAGCGCCAGCGCTCCAGCCCTGGATCGCGGTCCCCGCTAAAACACCTCCTCTGGCGCCTTGAGACCGAATTTGAGAATCCACCAATCAGCGGCGGCCGGCGGGGCGGTCCCGGCCAATCCCGTGGCGGCACGGCCCGGGCTCGCCGCCCCTCGGAGTCTTGGCGCTCCCGGCCGCGCGTTTGGCCCTCACCCGCCCAATTGTTGCCGCCTCAGCCCCCTCCCCCTTCCGGGTACCTGGAAACCTCGAGCCCGGGAGCCAATTCCTGCCGGGGACGCGGGCCCGGGCGGCCGCGGGAAGCCAAGGTGGGGGCGGCGTGGGGCGGCGGGAGGAGGAGGAGGAGGGCTCTTTTGTTATGCATAAAAGGCCCGCTCCGGTCCCCTCAGCTTGCCGCGCTGGGAGACCGCGGGCACAGCCAGGGGAGGGGAAAGCAGATGGAGTTTGGAAAAAACGATATACAGACTCTGGACGCCGCTGCCGCCACCCCCTCCCCCTGCAACCTGCGCGGAAGCTAAGTTGTCCAGGCGTGTTGGGGCAAACTTCCTAACACCGCACGCTGGTGTGACACGTGAACCATGGTTACCACTCTGTGCTGCGAGCAGATGGCACGCCAGTTAGTCCTGGAAACTAGACTGCAAGCAGAACCAGCTGTTTTTTCCTTTTCTGTCTTTCCTTTTTGTTTTGTTTTTTTTTTTTTTGTAATTCCGGAAAAGTTTTTTGGTAGTGTTCCTTTTTAAGAACATCGCCAATAATTAAGGGCAAAAAGCCTTATTAAATAATTCTTTGCAACGTGCACCAGCATTCTGGGTAGTCGAGAAAATTTCCTCAACATTACTGATTTGTATTAAATGTTTCACTTCCTTCAACTTTAGTTTCTTATTTGAAATATGAATATTGATAAAGACAGGTGTGTGTGTGCGCGCGCGCGTATTTAAAATACCACGTGCGGTATTTTAGTAGACTATTGCTTAGAACAGTTTTACATTTACAGGAAAATTGAGAAGATAGGAGGACACAGAGTGCCCCTATGTCCGGCACCCATTTTTAGCTGTTTATTAATACCTTATGTTTGTATGGTACTTTTGTTGGAATTAATGAACCAATAATGATATGTTATTCTTGAACTGAAGTCATTATTCAGATTCCCTTACATTTTTCCTAATGTTTTTCTGTTCCAGGATACCACATTACATTTAGTGTTCATGTCTCCCTAGGCTCCTCTTGGCTGTGACAATTTCTCATACGTTCCTCGTTTTTGCTGGGCTCCATGGTTTTGAGGAATACTGGTAAGTCATTTTGTAGGATGTCCTGCTATTGGGATTTGAGACAGCCTTTTTAAAGCATGTCTACAGACATTGCCCTATGAGTCATATACTTTACAGAAAGGTTATCATTCTTCTTATCCTTTCTGTATAGTGCGCTGCTCTCCACTCCTCACCTCGCAGCATTTAAGTGCAACATCTGCAGAATTTAGAATGCTCAGTCAAGCCCTTTACTTTGTACTCTATTTAGGTTGCTGATAAATACAGCCTAAAAAATCACTGTGAGATCATATCTAAAAGACAAGCATGGAAACATTAAGCATATAGAAAAATAACAATAGTAATTTGACATTTTTATATTAGAAATGATATTTTGAATTGAAATCTATCTTCTAGGTAGAAGCATGAGGAGACAAGTAATAAAGAATAAAACTGCAATTTATTAAATTTTGTCCTTCTGTAGAAGCAGAACATTTTGATTAGGAATTTTTTTTTCTCCCAACTATATTAATTTCCTGTGGCTGCTATGACAAATCACCACAAACTTTGATTTAGAATAATAGGGATTTACTCTCTCACAGTTCTGGAGGCCAGAAGTCGAAATCAAGGTGTTGACTGAGCCACATTCCCTCTGGGGCTCTAGAGGAGAATTTGTTTTTGCCTCTTCCGCTTCTGGTGGCTGTAAGCAATCCCTGATGTATGGCTGCCTCACTCAGATCTCTGCCTCATCGGTCACATTGCCTGCTCCCCTTCTGTCTGTTAACTCTCTTGTGTATCTCTTACAGGACATTTGTTACTGAATATAGTTCCCACTTGTATAATTCTGGAATGTTTCATCTTAAGATCGTTAACTCAATTATATCTGCAAAGACCTTTTTTCCAAATAAGGTGACACCCATGGGTTCCAGGGATTAGGACATGGATATTCCTTTTTGGGTTTTGTTACAGACCTTTTCCTTGCATTTTCAGAGTATTTTTTCTATTTCATTTCAAATGTAGCCACTATTCAGAACAAGGAAAGCTCGTGATGTAGCTTCAGACTCTTGTAATTTCATTGATTGCTTAAAGTAAGAGTGATCTTAAATTTGGAGGAAAACTGGAAAATGAGTGTTTGATGGGAAAATTCAGAGACATTACTCCAGTACACTTATTTACTTTGATGCTTTCGAGTCCCAGATTTTGTAGACGATCTGTCAATCTCTCAGTTATTTAGTTGACACTGATGGTGACTGGGAACTTGGGTGGAGCATCAAGAAGAGTCCCAGCAGGTGGCTTCTCAGTGTAGCCTGATCTTCCTTATGACATGGTGGCTAAGGCGGTTGGACTTCTTTGGGGACTCAGGGCTCCAAAATGAGTACCCAAGCCCACAAGGTGGAAATCGTATTGCCTTTTATGATGTAGCCTTAGAACAAAGATAGCATCGATTCTGGTACATTTTTTTGATGAAACAGTCAAAGATCCACCCATATTCGAGAGAAAAGGACACACACCCTACCTTTGTTTTTTTTCTTTTGGTTTCAAGTTTTTATTTAAATTCTAGTTAGTTAACATATATGGTAATAGTGGTTTCAGGGGCAGAATTTAGTGATTCATCACTTATATATAACACCCAGCTCATCACAAGTGCCCTCCTTAATCCCCATCACCCATTTAGTCCATCACCTGCCCACCTCCCCTCCAGCAACCCTCAGTTTGTTCTCTGTAGTTAATAGCCTCTTATAGTGTCCTCCCTCTCTCTCTTTTTTTTTTCTTCCTTCCTCTGTGTTCATCTGTTTTGTTTCTTAAATTCCAGATGAGTGAAATCATGGTATTTATCTTTTTCTGTCTTATTTTGCTTAACATAACACACTCTAGTTTCCTCCAAAATGTTGTAAATGGTGAGATAGCATTCTTTTTGATGGGTGAGTAATATTCTATCCTGTATATATATATATATATACCAAAAAGAATCCATTCATCAGCAGATGGACATTTGGGCTATTTCCATAGTTTGGCTATTGTTGATAATGCTGCTATAAACATTAGGATGCATGTACCCCTTCAAATCTGTATTTTTGTATCCTTTGGGTAAATACCTAGTAGTGCATTTGCTGGGTCATAGGATAGCTCTATTTTTAACTTTTTGCGGGACCCCCATACTGTCTTCCAGAGTGGCTGCACCAGTTTGCATTCCTACCAACAGTTTAAGAGGGTTCCCTTTCTCTGCATCCTTGCTAACATCTGTTGTTTCTTGTGTTGTTAATCTTAGCCATTCTGACAGGTGTGAGGTGGTATCTCATTGTGGTTTTAAAAAAAAATTTTTTTATTTGAAAAAAATAAATTTTAGAAAAATGTCTATTCATGTCTTCTGCCCCTTTCTTAACTGGATTATCTATTTTTGGGTATCGAGTTTGATAAGCTCTTTATAGATTTTGGATACTAACCCTTTATCAGATATGTCATTTGCAAATATCTTCTCCCATTCTGTAAGTTGCCTTTAGTTTTGTTGATGGTTTCCTTTGCTGTGCAGAAGCTTTTTATCTTGATGAAGTCCCAATAGTTTATTTTTGCTTTTGTTTCCCTTGCCTCTGGTGAGGTGTGTCTGGTAAGAAGTTGCTATTGTGAGATCAAAGGGGTTGCTGCCTGTGTTCTCCTCTAGGATTTTGATGGTTTCCTGTCTCACATTAGGTCTTTCATCCATTTTGAATTTATTTTTGATGCATCCTACCTGTCGATGGAAGAAATGTCAAACGCTTTGGGGCCATATTTTAAAATAAAAAACACCAGGTTTCATGCTGATTTTGCAATTCTACCTTTATAAGCTCTGCCTGGAAGGTCATTGACTTTGGAACAGTATTGTACTACCCACATGGCCGTAGTCCTCAGGGCTCCATATTGTGCTAGGCCTGTGGTTCTCAACACTGTCTGTGCTTTAGAATCCCTTGGGGAGATGTTTAAAAATACCAGTACCTGAATCCCACACCCAGGGACTTCTAGTTTACCTGCTCTGGTGTTGGGCTTGGGTATTTTTTTCCCAGGGAGATTTTTAAAAATACCAGTACCTGAATCCCACACCCAGAGACTTCTAGTTTACCTGCTCTGGTGTTGGGCTTGGGTATTTTTTTCCCAATGCCCAGTGTCTTGTTCGTTACCATCATGCTGGTTGTATGTTTATTCATTAATATTTTTGAATGCTTCTGAATCCATGGTTTCAGAAATAGATCCTCTGGTGCCATCAATGAAGATTCAGGCAGATGTGTCCCCCTCTGGAGTAGGTGCAGAGTTGCAGAGGGCTGGCTCTTGCTGGTTTGTGGTTATGTCACTGGTTTTTGGAAAGGGTTGAGGTGGTCAATGAGAACCCATGGGTGAGATAGAGGTTTAACAGAAGAATGACAGCAAGGGCTGTAATCTAGAAAATATACACAGATGACAGGTGACATTCTTTTGTGCAAAAGACTTACTGCATAGCCTCTCAAACTCGCAAATAGTCTTATCCTTTTGGGGTTCCATATCCCAAGATTTATTAGACTTCATTCATGTTGTTGGACAGTGTGAGCTGTCCTGTTACTATTTCAGCTTCCACGGATGTTGTCCTTTTCTTCCACTCCTGCAAGCACCATCATCTGGGTGGAGCATCTGTTCTCCAAAGTGCAGTCACAGAGGGAGTTAGAACCCAATTTTTCTCCATACAGGCAACAGAGGGACCTTGGCTTCACATCCTGGCAATTCTCAAGTATCTTGGAGTGGTTCAGTTTAATAGTTCTTAAAAGGAGGGCTCTCATTTAAAATGGCCTTTGTCTTCAGCCATTCAGGGGCCTGGGAATATGATACATTTGTTTCTCTAACTGCTAGCAAGTTCAGAGAAGGCAGAAGATTTATTCTTGGCTGACTATAAGCAATGTCAGGAGAATAAGTCCATGACTGGTTCCTGCTCATAGCCTTAGCAACAATAATTAAAAAAAAGATCATATTAGTACCAAAGGGCAGTTATATGGCTCCCATCTGAAATTGCATCCAGATGTCCAGCTGTTCTAAGAGAGGTGCCTAAGCTGCGATTACATGTCCCGTAGGGAACAGAGGAGTTCATTCTTTATCTTTACAGACTCCTTGTCATCTTTAGCACTGTGGAGCAAGGTCATTTTCCTTAGTGATCGTGTAATTTGTGCTCTCACTAAATGGAAAGCTACTTGGTGTGCATGTGTGTGTACATGTGTTGTTGTGTGTGCATCTTGAAGGCCAGGATGTGGAGAGGGGGCTTGTGCTGTAACAAATATTCCAGACCATAACAGACAGGATGGATTTTGAGCTGGGTAAGGTGTTTCTGGGAATGTGATGGTGGAGAGTATATAATGGGGTGCCCCTTTACATGGTGCCCCATTTATGCTGCAGGCTTGGATGTGGTAGTTTGGAGGGATCGCGGTGGGTGGGGCAGTAAAAATGGGAATTGACCACTGCCCTGGAATTGAGATTCTGGAGAAAATGAGGGACAAGCTTCACCTTAATTTCCAGAGCCTTATAGAAGGGAAGGACTTCACTTTGAGGAGTAGAGAGACAGGTTCTAGACCAAGGTTGGCCAGCACTTGCTGGGTAACCTGGAACTAAAATTTTGCCTACTTAGGCCCCAGCTTTCTCTTTGAAGTGGTAGGGCTGGGGCTACTGATTTCAACTCTTGATTTCAGCCCAAAGCATGACTTCAGAGTCTTGGGATAGAGCCCTGTGTCAGGCTCTGTGCTCAATGAGGAGTCTGCTTGAGGATTCTCTCTCCCTCTGCCCCTCTGCTCATGTGCGCTCTCCCTCTCTCTCTCAAATAAATAAATCTTAAAAAAAAAAAAAATAAAGTGGTAGGGCTGATTTGGAAGTCCTCTGAACCCGCCAATTCATTGTAAATACATTTGACACTTAGGTTATATATATATAAGTATATAAGGATATTGCTGAAATCATTTTTTATTTCCATATTTGGTGAAACTGAACACATCTCTGCTTATTACATTATGTGATGTACATACATTAATAAGGAGAATGTTAACAAATATCAGGCCAAA